CAAGAAAGAGTCCAAAAGTGGCAGACAAAAACCCAGAACCTCAATCAGTGGCTGATACCAGATGAGAAACTGGGTGATGGTATGATAGCTGGATGCCTGTGCTGCAAACGTTACGCTGATTCTGCAACTGCAGCTGTGAGTGAGGGTGACCGACCATGTGGTCGAGAGAGGGGGCAGAGTGAGAGCAGGTGGACTGAGAGACAGAAGGGGGACAAAGTTGGGGAGATTGTTCGTTGTTGTATTAGAAGGAAGGATAGAAAGTGGGGGAAGAATACGAGGAGTGGTGTTAAATGCATGTAATACAGTTTATTGTGCACTTTCGGACAATGGAGCTGGCCATGAGTTTTTGGCAGGGATGTTGAATTTGTGGTGAACACCCTAAAGTTTATAGACAGCCTGGATGTGGGCTGGGAACAACATTGAAGAGTTTAATAATATTTTGGGTCAGAAAGCTGATTGCTATCCTGTTAATGGTTTTCCCAAACCGTTTCCCAAACTGTTGTTTACCATTTCTCATTAAAGAACCGATACATTCGTTCACTGTTATCTGTGTCCCTCCCTTATGTTAAATTACTTCAGTGTCCCACGCAATCTGCGTACTCGAAGCAGCGTTCCGGAAACAGCGTAACACTCGTGGCACAGGGACTCAGCTATCATACTATCACCAGAAACTTCCTCCTGCACATACAGAAGACTGGGTGACTTCAAAGGCACTGAACAGGATGTGCTCTGGCACCACGAGATGCTGGGGATACAAAGTGGAGTCCTTGACATGTGAGCGTGGAGAATAAAACCACAGGCCACTTACTACAATGCAGCCACATGCACAGTGGAGGACCTTCTCACAGCAACACCAGAGGCACTCCAAGTGGCCAGCTTCTGGTCAAAGGAAATTTAGTATAATTCCAAGTTTTAATCTTTGTGGCTTTAAATACATTATACCTGCATTCTCAATTTGTATCTGACACGACAAATATATATAAATATGCTACTTCAAAGCATCACTTATAAAAATCACAAATAATAATAATAAAACTTTATTTATACCCCGCCACCATCTCCCCAAGGGACTCGGAGCAGCTTACATGAGGCCAAGCCCAATAATAAAACAAAAGGCAATAAACAAAAACAATAAATACAATGCAATTAATATAAATCACATATAAACAATGACCAGACTTGTATCCAAGTCTGGATACAAAATAGAAGCCATAATAAAAGTGGAAGCTGGTAAAAGAAACTGCTGACGAATTTCGGTGCCAAACTGCATTCATCCCACAGTGCTGAGGGGCCCCGGGTCCCTTCAAAGCAAGAGGGGCGCCTTCTCCCTTGCAGATGGCCTCAAACAAGCTTGCAGCACACTCAACCAGGCGGACACGTGAAGGTGGCGTGGGGACGGGGCGACCCGACACTTGGAGGCCTGCGGGGCGGGCTCGAACTCGCGCCGGGGATACGGGAACTATTTGGGCCTGGAGGCAGCTGCGAGGAGATCGGCTGCATCTCTATGGCCTTCCCTACCTTGAGGGCCTCCAGGCGGTACCGCTGCGTGGAGGCCGGGTCCATCATCACCGTGACCGCCTTCACCAGCTGCTCGCAGAGGGTGTTCACGGGGTCCCAAGACATGGCGCCGAGGAGCGGGGCTCTATCCGGGGGGAGGCAAGAAGGAAGAGAAAGTAGGCCCCGTTGCCCCGGGCAACCAGGCACAGGGGGGAGAACCCGAGAGCCACACCGCGCCGGGTACACAAGCCCAAAGGCAGCACTGCGCAGGCGCCGGCAGCCAAACTGTCTCCACTGAGCCTGCGCAAAGCACCGTCCACAACTTGGACGGCTGTTAGAAACGTAGAATTAGCCCATTAGAATGCCTCACTCCCTTGATGAGACGGAGCTTCCGGGTCCTGTCTAGATTATTTTGGACTGGAGGCGGCCTTTGGAATGCGGTCAGAAATTTGGAGCAAAGAGCTGCAGTTACAAGTTGCGACCACCAGAGAGAGGTTGTGGCAATAGCTCCACGGGGTTTCAAGGCCAAAGTCAAAGCGTGGATGGATACGACTATTCCACTATACAACTACATCTAATAATAATACAATATAATAATAATATATTTTACTAGCGGTCCCCTTGCCACGCGTTGCTGTGGCCCAGTCTGCTGATCTGGAAAATAAAGTAACGAGAAAGTGTTGGTTTATAATATATGTAATGTCGTTCTGCTTGTGGGTAAACAGTATTTCTTCCCGTTTCTTTGTCAGTGTTGATGTGGAGATTGTCTGGTTTGCCAACTCTGGAATATGCAACATATCATTGTCCTTCTTTAGGGGTCCCTTTCAAATCTATGATACTGCATCTGTCATATACATATATGTGTGTGTGTGTGTGTGGGAATGGCTGGATGGCCCTTTGTCAGGAGAGCTATGATTATGTTTTCTTGCCCTGGTGAAGGGAGTTGGAATGGATGGCCTTAAGGCAGCATTTCTCAACCTGGGAAATCAAGACCCTGGAGGGGGGTCACCAGGGGGGTGTCATAAAGGTCGCCAAAGACCACCAGAAAACAGTATTTTCTGTTGGTCATGAGGATTTTGTGTGGGAAGTTTGCCCCAATTCTGTCGTTGGTGGGGTTCAGAATGCTCCTTGATTGTAGGGGAACTATAAATCCCAGTAACTACAACTCCCAAATGTCAAGATCTATTTTCCCCAAACTCTATCTGTGTTTATATTTGGGCGTATTCAGTATTCGTGCCAAGTTTGGTCCAGATCCATCATTGTTTGAGTCCACAGTGCTCTCGAGATGTAGGTGACCTCCAACTCCAAAACCCAAGGCCAATGCCCACCAACCCTTCTAGTGTTTTCTGTTGGTCAGGGGAGTCCTGTGTGCCAAGTTTGGTTCAATTCCATCGTTGGTGGAGTTCAGAATGCTCTTTGATTATAGGTGAACTATAAATCCCAGCAACTACAACTCCCAAATGACAAAATTATAATTTTTGAGTGATGGTCACTCCTTGTGTTGTGAGACATTTTGTTGCCAAATTTGGTATGATTTCGTTCATTGGTTCTTTTGTTTTTAAGGTACTCAGTATGCACAGAGCATTTTTATATATATAGATATTACATATAATATTACTAATAATATTATAGTACAGTGGTATACTACAATATAGTAATATATAATACTAATATTGGGCTGTGCTAATAATATAATATATGAACCTATGAACCATCACGGAGATTAAGATCCTTCAGGGAGGCCCTGCTTTCCATCCCGCCATTGTCACAGGCATGATTGGTAGGGACGAGAGACAGGGCCTTTTCGGTGATTGCTCCACGGCTATGGAACTCCCTTCCTGGTAAGATCAGGTCGGCCCCGTCCCTCCTGTCCTTTAGAAGGATGGTAAAAACTTGGCTGTGGGACCAAGCTTTCGGGACAGGGCAATGGGAAAGGTGACAGGGCCAATTAGATTTGATGCGGATGGCTAGGATGGTTTTAAATGGTGTATTTTAATATTTTGATAAATGTTTTTTAATGTTTATGTATTGTATGTATTGTATGTGCATTTGTGTCCTGGCATTGAATATTTGCTGTGTATATGTCGTGCTCCGCCCTGAGTCCCCTTTGGGGTGAGAAGGGCGGAATATAAATGTTTTAAATAAATAATAAATAAATATTTTATACTCATATAATATTGATAGTATAATGTAATACAATATAATACTATTAATAATACAATTTAATAATTTTATATTCCATATTACATGTAATGTTACTAATATTACAGTATAGTGGTATAGTGTAATATAGTAATATATAATACTAATATTGTGTGATGCTAATAATATATTGTATGTACATATATTAATCCCTAAACGGCTCCGGCCCTATTTATCTGTCCGAATGGATTCTCCCCTATGAACCATCAAGGTTGTTAAGATCTTCTGGAGGGGCCCTGCTCTTGGTCCCACCTCCTTCGCAATCACGTTTGGTGGGAACGAGGGACAGGGCCTTTTTGGTGGTGGCCCCTCGGCTCTGGAACTCCCTCCTGATGGAGATTAAATCTGCCTTTTTCCTCCTGACTTTTAGAAAGCTGGTAAAAACATGGCTTTGGGATAATTCATTTGCAGAATGATGACTGAGTCAATAACTGCTGACCTTTCTGGCGGATGGCGATGAATTTGTGATTCACTCTGACGAACTGATTTTTTGGAACTTGTATGAATTGTATTTTAATGTATTTTATATTGATGATGTATACTGTTTTTTCTTATTGTATTGAATCTTATGTTGTTAGCCGGCCTGAGTCCCTCCTCTGAGGTTGAGAAGACCGGGTAATAAAAACTCTAAATAAATAAATAAATAAATAAAATAACTTGTAAGCCACTCCGAGTCCCCTTTGGGTGAAAAGGGTGACATATAAATGTTGTAAATAAATAAATAATAAATAAACCTACACTGTGGAATTAATAGAGTTTGATATGACTTGAACTCCGACATCTTCTACACAGCTGTATAAAATCCACATTGAATTGGATTATATTGCAGTGTGGAACTCAGATAATCCAGTCCAAACCAATATTGTGGATTATCTGCCTTGATATTTTGAGCTCTATGGCTGTGTGCAAGGATCTTCCCGTGGTCCAATCCTTTGGAATCCAGATCTCTCTGGCAGAAAAGGCTAAAGACCTTGGGAAACTATAGCTCCCACGAGTCTAAAGCATTAAGCCCCGGGAGTTAAAGACTGCGTTGCTTCTTCGTTGTAAAATCAGCAAGAATCGCTTGTCTTCTTCCCACTTTCCTACGTTTATGTTGTATGTAGACAGTTTGGCGAAGAATATCTGCGTCACGAAAGAAACCAATATGACGTCATCACAGTTCCTCGACTACAGCGTGGTGGAACCCTGACATGTCCCTTCAAGACTCCATTTCCCAGCAGGCATTGCAGCGACGCCTTGATCCGTTTCTCTCCTTGCGTTCCAAGAGCGTGCGGAGCCACGCTGCAACCTGCGCGTTGCGTCACTTCCTTTTCTTCCCTCCCTTCCGGCTCTGAGGAGAAAGAAGGCGGGAATTCCACTCACTGAAGGAACTTTCTGAGTCTTTTCCTGAGGATGTCTCGTGGGCGGGAGCGGGTGGTGGCGCTGGCCGACATGGATTGCTTCTACATCCAAGTAGAGCAGCGCCTGCAGTCCAGTCTGCGCGGGAAGCCCTGCGTCGTGGCCCAGTACAAGACCTGGAAGGGCGGCGGGTACGTGTCTCGGCTCCCTTGGGCAATGGGAGCAGGCATGGGCTGACTTGGGCCCTCCCTCCAGGTGTTTTAGACTTCAACTCCCACACCGGCTGTTAGGAATTGTGGAAGTTGAAGTCCAAAAGTCGTCCCATGCCTAATTTAGAGCTCCTAGGTAGGAGCTGTTTGGCAGTGGAATATGCTGCCTCTGAGTTTGGTGGAGTGTCCTCTGGAGGTTTATAAGCAGAGATTGAATGGCCATCTGTCAAGACTGCTTTGAATGTATTTTCATCAAAAACTCATAAGAATCCATAGCAGATACACCCTTAGTCTCTGGACCAGTGGAAACCAATCTTCAATAGGGTATCCTTTTCACATATTTAAACATGACTATCATAGAATCCAAGGGCAAGATGGATGGATGGCATCCTTGAAGTGACTGGACAGACCTTGAAGGAGCTGGGGGTGGTGACGGCTGACAGGGAGCTCTGGTGTGGGCTGGTCCATGAGGTCACGAAGCGTCGGAGACGACTGAACGAATGAACAACAACATCATAGAATCCTAGAGTTGGAAGAGACCTCATGGGCCATCCAGTCCAACCCCCTGCCAAGAAGCAGGAAAATTACATCCGAAGCACCCCTGACAGATGGCCATCCAGCCTCAGTTTAAAAGCCCCCAAAACAAGAGCCTCCACCACACTTCAGGGCAGGGAGTTCCACTGCTGGACAACTCTCACAAGAAGTTATTCCTCATGTTATGGTAGTTTCTTGTAGTTTGAAGCCATTGTTCCACGTCCTAGTTTGCTCCCTTCTCCCTATGACTTCCCCTCATATATTTATACATGGCCGTCATGCCTCCTCTCAGCCTTCTCTTCTTCAGGCTAAATACCCAGCTCTTTAAGCCACTCCTCATAGGGCTTGTTCTCCAGACCCCTGATCATTTTAGTCGTCGTCCTCTGAACACATTGCAGCTTGTCAACATCTCTTGTCAACGTACTGCTCTCAAGCCACGCATTCCCCATTCTGTATCGTTGCATTTCATTTTTTCTTCCTAAGTAGAGTATCTTGTATCTTGTTGAGCTTCATTTTGTTAGTTTTGGCCCATCTCTCTAATTTGTTAAGATCGTTTTGAATTCTGCTCCTTTCTTCTGGAGTAACCTTCATTTGTCCAGGCTTCACTTCCCCCAGAAGCTCCTCATGGGGCATTTGTTTGACAGTACTCAGCTCTCAGACTGACAGTCTAATACTGATACATAAGGAAAGGGGGTGGCAGTGTGGGAGGGCATAAAACCCAGTAGTTGCTGCATCCCCTTTTCTTTCTCTGTCGAATTCAGAATAATTGCTGTGAGCTATGAAGCACGTGCTTTTGGAGTTACCAGGAACATGTGGGCTGTTGATGCCAAGAAGCTGTGCCCAGATCTCCTGGTGGCTCGAGTGCCAGAGGCGCATGGTAAAGCAGACCTCACCAGGTAAGCCTAGTTGTTATAGTTTCTCTTGGATGGTATTAACTTAGGTAGCAGCCTGTAATGAAAGGACCAAGGCAATGACATCTCTGGCCCATTCTCTGTTCGGATATCAGCCAGCATGCCAAGCCTTAAATCAATAAATAGCTTCTTAAGATTTATAGAGGTACTTGCAGTAACACGTCAGCAAGCAAGAGTCTAAAAGTTGCAGGTAAAAACCCAGAACCTCAATCAGTGGCTGATACCGGATGAGAAATTTCCTCCTATGCACACAAGATTGGGCGACTTGGAAGACACTGAACAGACTTGCGCTCTGGCATCACAAGATGCAAAGCCAATCTTAAGAAATGGGGCTACTAAGTGGAGTGCATTGCCATGCAAGCGTGGAGAAGAGCAAACCACAGGCCACTTACTACAATTCAGTCAGTCTGAGCCTGCTACATGCACAGTGGAGGACCTTCTTAAAGTGACACCTGAGTCACTGGAAGTGCCCAGCTTCTGGTCAAAGGAAATTTAGTATAATGCTAAGTTTTTAACTTTGTGGGTTTTTTTAATACATTATAACTATATTCTCAGTTCATTTCTGACACGATAAATATAAATAAATCTGATGTAGATTGTGAAATACTCTGGAGTAAAAAATAGTTTGAGAAGGAAGTTGATCAATGCTGCTCTTTCGTGCTCTGAGTATGAGGTGGTTTTTACGAAGCATGTTTAGCTGCTATTCATAACTAGGATATAATGCATGTTGTCTGGCTTTAACTGAGCAGTATCCTAGGATTCAAAAATTTATCTCCCAGTGTGTTTTTTTACATACTGTATTGGACTTATTCTAGTTTATTCAATCCTTATTTATTATCTTAGTATACTCGGCAGTTGATGAGGGGAAAGTGCTGTCATTTTTGAAAGTATGGAAGCATAATTTCCTAGTGGTTGACTGCTTAATAATCCAATTGTAAGAGAATATGCAACGGGAATATTAAAGGATCATTTTGTGCCTATCTGATATAGGTACCGAGAGGCAAGCGTGGAAGTGATGGAAGTCATGTCTCGCTTTGCTGTGATTGAGCGTGCCAGCATTGATGAGGCCTATATGGACTTAACTAGTGCTGTACATGAAAGGCTTCAAAAGATGAAGGGACAGTCTATTGAAGCAGAACAATTGGCCACTACCTATATTGAAGGATTCCCAGACAACTTTGCATTAGAAGAGACTACAGATAACAAAGGTATTCCATAGCTTCAGACATGGTATTCCATTGCTCTGCTTTGCCTTTCCGTTCCTTTTATGTTGCCCTTTAACCTTTCTTCTTTTTACATTTTCCCTTAATTTTGCTCAGAGAATATTTAATTTGAAATATTGGTGCTTAAAAGAATATGAAAAGAACCCCCAAATCCCAGATATTCCGTATATTATTTTATCCCTTTAATGGTTATGGTGGTACCAAATTATTAAAAAGTGGCCTTGAAAGTGAGCACCTTACTTTCAATTCTTAAGCTATATTTTTTAATAGACCATTTTAGATAAGCTGTCTAATACAGGTAGGATCTGAGGATGCTTGCCATAGATGCAGGCGAAACATCAGGAGAGAATGCCTCTAGAACAGGGGTCCTCAAACTTTTTAAACAGAAGGCCAGGTCACAGTCCCTCAAACTGTTGGAGGGCCGGATAATAATTTGAAAAAAACAGGAATGAATTCCTATGCACACTGCACATGTCTTATTTGTAGTGCAAAAAAGCACTTAAAAACAATGCAATAATTAAAATGAAGAACAATTTCAACAAATATAAAATTATTAGTATTTCAATAGGAAGTGTGGGCCTACTTTTGGCTGATGAGATAGGATTGTTGTTATTGTTGTGTGCTTTCAAGTCATTTCAGACTTAGGTCGACCCTGAGCGAGGGCTGGGTAAATGAACTTGGAGGGCCGCATCCGGCCCCCGGGCCTTAGTTTGAGGACCCCTGATCTAGAACATGGCCATATAGCCTGAAAAAACCTACAACAACCCAGTGATTCCGGCCATGAAAGCCTTCTTTTTGATAGCCTTTCTGCCCTCTTGCTTTGCTCTGATATTTGTTATGGAGAGATCATTATGTGTCTTCTTTGAGTTGGTTTGTGTTTCATTTTAGAAGAGTGGCGGCAACATGGTTTGCGCCAGTGGCTTGAGTCACTGCCTTTTGAAGATTCCAGCAATCCAGAGCTGCAGCTGACAGTGGGAGCTGTCATTATGGAAGAAATGAGGGCAGCTGTGGAATCCGTCACTGGATTTAGGTGTTCTGTTGGGATTTCTCATAACAAGGTGAAATGAGGACTTTAAAAAATGAACTCAGTGATGTGATGGATCTGGGACAGATGAAATATTTAATCAGTGCAGCACAGCATACATAAGAGAAAAATAGTACATAGGATGAGAAGAAACAACTGTAATTCAGTTACAGATTTCTCTATTCAAATGAGTGTTGGACAGCAGGGCAAATTTGATATGTAATCTCTAGTTGTATTAGCAAGAATTTTTTTACATCCTTGTTACACTAGCTCCACTGGCTGCCTGTTAGCTTCCGAGCACAATTCATAGTGCTGGTTTTGAGCTATAAAGTCCTAAACGGCTCTGGCCCACTTTACCTGTCTGAACGTGTCTCTTCCTATGAACCATCAAGGACTTTAAGATCATCTGGGGAGGCCCTGCTCTCGGTCCCGCCACCATTGCAGTTGCTTTTGGTGGGGACAAGAGACAGGGCCTTCTCCATGGTGGCCCCTTGGCTGTGGAACTCCCTCCCTAAAGAGGTTAATTTGCCCCCTCTGACTTTTTGCAAGACACTGAAGACTTGGCTGTGGGAGCAAGCTTTCGCAGAATAGACGGTTTTTATTGGCTTAGATGAGATTGTACGGACTGCATTTTTTGTACTGATTTGAAGCACATTTTCAACTTGGTGAACTGTTTTTAAATGTATATTTATTATCGTTTTATGTAATTGTGTATTTTATTGGTGTTTTTATATTGGTGGAGGCTGCCCTGAGTCCCTCTTCAGATGTTGAGAATAGGACAGGATACAAATGCTCCAAATAAATAAATAATTTATGTCCAGTATCTCTTCAAGCTTTATTCCTGCAAACGTGAGGTGAGCCAATTGTAGTATTCTGTGGTCTCTAGCAAGCTGGATCATATTTGTATGAACTCCGCTAATTGCTAATAACAAATAATGCAGAACCTTCTTGTCTGATCCAGTTTGCTGCTGTGTGTGTCCCAGAAGTTCAGTTTTGGAAGATGATAAATGGTCTTGTAAGGCTGATATATACAGCATGGTAATATGTTTCTAAGGCTCCCTGATGGTGCAGCAGATTAAACTGCTGAGCTGTTGAACTTGCTGACCGGAAGGTTGGTGGTTCGAATCCAGGGAGCAGGGTGAGCTGGTGCTGTTAGGCCCAGCTTCTTCCAACCTAGCAGTTCGAAAACATGCAAATGTGAGTCGATCAATAGGTACCGCTTCTGCGGGAAGGTAATGGCGCTCCATGTAGTCATGCTGGCCACATGACCTTGGAGGTGTCTACAGACAGTGCTGGTTCTTCAGCTTAGAAATGGAGATGAGCACCACCCTCCAGAATCAGACACAACCTTTACCTTTAATATGTTTCTTCCTCTGAAATCAGTGCTACTGTTGAGCAATCAAGCGGGGGGGGGGGGCTGACTTCAGGAACTTCTGATAATTGGTGTAACTACTATTCAGTTGATAACTGACCTTCAGACACAGTTGAAAGCCAGGATGCCTAGCATCTCACAGGTGGAAATATTGCTGCCTGGATTCCTCTTCCACATAATTGTTTTCCTGCAAAGTGCTAGAATCTAGATTCTGTAACTTTAGGATAGAAGTGAGAAATGTGTAGCCCTCCAGATTTTGTTGGTCTGTAGTTTTTAGAAGCCTTAGTCATCATACCAAATTACAAAGAATAGTGGAAGTGCCGTCTTGTAACACCTGGAAGTGTCTTTGCCTCTGTTCTGTGGTGAAACATTGATGATCTCCTGAGTTTGCCATAAATAAGTTTTCATTCTTTGCATTCCAGATGTTAGGAATGAACAAGATATTACTAATAAACTCAAGATGATTAAGATATTTGTTCAACAGCCTGTAAAAATAAGAAAGCTTGGGTTCTTAAACTGCCCACTTTTTAAATTCTAGGTATTAGCAAAACTGGCTTGTGGCCTCAACAAACCTAATCGTCAGACTCTGGTGTCACAGGCTTCTGTCCCTCAGCTCTTCAGTAAGATGCCAATTGGAAACATGTACGTAAAAGAGAGATTGCATTAACAAATTTCTGAGTTATATTTCTCTTTTGTATCTTAATTGTTGAATGTGCTTTGGTATATTCTATGCTCATTGTAAATACAAGATGGTTGCCAAGTGACACTATTGAAATAGAAAACTTTTTAGCATGGTATATGGGACAGGGAAATAGGGTTAAAAAAATCCTTAAATGCTCATGGCAGAATGTGGGGGAAGAAAATGCTTTGAGCATTTCTTGCCTTGTACAAAAAAATCAACAGAGTTGGTATATATTTATTTTGCTAGTTTCAGATATATAGGCATTGATCCAAATCCTATCAGTAGTCCCAGCTAGGATAGACTTATTGAATCAGTGGATTAAGTTGATTCACCATTCAACAGTTGATCCATTGGATCTACTCTGGTTGGTTTGCCAACAACATTCAAACCATAATTCCCTCTCTTTTTGCTGGGATAGTATATACAAATTTGCATATGAACTTGTCCTTTTTTTCATTTTTTGAGCAGTCATAATTTTTTCCTGCCAAAATTGTTTTGCCTTTTCCTCCCATAGCCGCAACCTTGGAGGGAAGCTGGGCGCCTCTGTCGCTGAACTTCTTGGTGTGGAATATGTGGGACAGCTGACCCAGTTCAGTGAACAACAGCTTCAAACACATTTTGGAGATAAGACTGGGTAGGTGACAGTACAATATGAAACAAATACATAAAAATGACAAATACCTTTAACTTATTTGTGAAGTGACTCAGATGGAACCGCCATATACTTTAGATGCAGCTTAAATAGATTTGTATCTCCTAGGTTAGAAACGTGATGTATTTAACATGGGTTTCCTGATATAATTTGCAGCTCCTGGTTGTATGACTTGTGCAGAGGAATTGAGCATGAGCCTGTGAAACCTAGACAGCTGCCAAAATCCATTGGCTGTAGTAAGAACTTCCGTGGAAGAGAAGCTTTGGTTACGCAGAAGCAGGTATGAAAGTGCAGAGGGAACAGAATGATGTCCTTCTTGAGGACAGGACTATCAGGCAAGGCTGGGAAATTTAGTGCATCTTTTTGCTTCTTTTCTATAGATAGGCCCAGTAATTTTATTGTCTTCTGTGTTAAACACTTTTCTCTGGCATGATCAATTATGAGATTGGTAGATAACTACCCTATATAGTTCCATCTGAGGAAGCAGAGTACTTACTATCTTTTATGACTTACAAAAGATGTGATATAGGAAAAGAGCAGTTATTCTTTGGCTGTGTGGTCTTGTTGAGAGCCTTGCCCTGTTCCTGCCATTTAACACAATATCTTGTCATACAAGGGATACATAACAAAAATATTGCTAACCCTGCAATGTTCCATGACAACGTTTCTAATGATTTATGGATTTGGAAGACATGTGTTTGTATTGCTCCCAATGGATATAAACTATCTCATGAACATGCCTTGTATGGCTTGAGTTATGTTGATAAGATATTGTGCAGTTTCCAAAGGTAGTAACAGATTCTGTGGTCATACTGTTATAGGTACAACACTGGCTTCTGCAGCTGGCCTTGGAGCTGGAAGAGAGACTGAACAAGGACAGAGATCAAGTAAGTGCTAGAAGAGAGAGGTAGTGTCCTTGTTCTCCAAATGCTATCTGTCCAAAGGACATGTGTGTAATCTGCAGTGAGAAATGTCGAGTACTTGCCTCTGACTTTTGTTTATCCCTTTTGGTATCTCTAATGTTTTTCTAAGGCTGTCAGTTTCTTGTATGTATGTAACTTACACAAAGTTTGAACTTGTATCAGCAAATTAAGAGATTGATATAAACCAAAGCAAAGCCATAAATATTGATTCTATATATCCATGTACATTTGGCTTTGAATGGGCCTATTTAGGAGGGTGTTGTGGGATATTACACTTCGACCTTGAATGTTTTAGAACAGTTGGTCATTCTAACTCACTCTTTCTATTTAGAGTAGTTTTATGTACAGCAGCACAGGAAAAGAGTGACTATTTGCCACATGTGCAGTTTTGAAGGATGATTTTTAACCTTTGCCCCAAACATCCCCTCCACTTAGCTGCTTTTAAAAATAATTTTAAAGAGGGCTTTTAAACTACATTGGGCTTTCTCCTTGCTGCAATGGTTTTAATTGTTAGGTGTTTTTTTAACAGTTGTAGCATTTAATGTTTTAGTAAATAATACAGACAAATTTAATGCCAACGGAAGAACATTGGGTTTGAATATAAGGAAGCCACTTCTAATATCATCTCAGTCGTAATGCAGACAGGGTATCTCTAAGGAAGTAATGATTTATCTGTTTACCTCACAGGCACATTTTAGTAAGATTATTTACAAAACATGCCAGAGATCCCACTTCACTACTACATTGCAGCAATTCCTTGTTTACCCTTTTTTTTTAGCTCTTTGAAGAAACATTTGAATTTTTATTTTTCAATTGAACAATATGGCATTTGTTGAGTTCCCAAACTATATCTCATTCCAGGTGCTGGCACAATACAGATATGTTTTGTATGCGTTTTACCCAGAGATGGGCAGAGTGCAACCCTGTGGCCTTTGTGCCCCAGACCATTCTTTTTCTAGAAAAACTCCTACAGAACCCAGACTAAAAAGCAACCTTCCAACTTCCAGCCATCTCTGGTTTTGTTCTGTTTTTCTTTTGACATTTTAAACAGTTCATGTCCTCCCAGACCCTGGTTTAGACTAGAGGTGAAAAGCCAATGGCTCCTCAGCTACTCTTAGACTTGCCCTGGGCATTGGATCTGCTTGCTGGGACTGATGTTAAGAGACATCTAGAAGGCAATAAACTTCTTCCACCTTGATTGTAGACTATGTCCTGTTAATAAATATGACACGATTCAGACTGCAGACCCCATAAGTGCAAGCTGTTGAGATTTCATTGCATGTCACAATTGAGTGGCGCTGCTTGAATACCTGTGTTTTTATTGGCTATAGATTGGGAATGGTGGGGAGGATCTCTTGCATGGTGGTCTGTGTTAGAATATTTTTGGATTAATCTAGGCAGATACTTCTTGACTCATATAATATCCAATTTCTTGATGTCAAATATATTTTGTCAGGATCCCAATTGTGTGTGTGTGTGTGTGTGGTAATCTGTAATATCAGTGTGCAAAGGGGTTTTGTAACACTTCAGAGACTGAGAGAAGGAAGTTGGTAGCAAAACCAACTACAGTCAATCCCCAAGTTACAGACATTCAACTTATATACTACTCGTAGTTACAAACGGGGGTGAGACAACAGGAAGTGAGAGGAAATCTACCCCTAAGAATGGAAATTCAACCCTGGAAAAGTTATCATGGGGAAAACGTGTCTCCAGTGGAGCTTTCTCACCAATCTTTTTTTCCACTGCAACCTAAAATGTTCAAAATACAATTGTCACTGGGACAGAGAGTGAGGTAAAATCTGAACAGGGGTACATACAACAACAAAAATGCTACAAGGTTGCTAACCCTTCCCTATGTTATGCAAAACTAAACGAAGAATATATTTGGCTGGAGTTATAGTTAAAAATGTACTTGTTCTGACTTACATACAAAATCAACTTGAAAACAAATCTACAGAGCCAATTTTATCTGTAACCTGGGGACTGCCTGTATGTATTTCCTTGGATGCATGAAGTGTCTGGAAGTATACATACATACACATATATAGCAGTCCTATAAAGATCTGTTCTGGGGGACACCATTCCATTCATCCGAGGAAGCACAGATAGTCTACAAATTTGTCTCTAAAGTGCTATGAGATCTCTGTGTGTGTAGGTACATAGATGTGTTTGTGTGCATTGATATATTCATTACTTCATCTTTCTTCCAACAGAATAACAGGACAGCTAAACAACTGAGCATTGGGATTCGTATGCAGGGTTCCAAAAATGCCAGTGGCCTGTCTCGCTGCTGTGCGTTATCTCAGTATGATGCCCACAAAATCAGCCGAGATGCCTTTGCAGTAATCCAGAACTGCAATGCTGCAGGGGGGCTGCAGGCTGCATGGTAAGATGTGTTTTATTTTTTTACTAAATGAAAGGGTATGTTTCTGAAGAGGGGAGAGTTCAGGTTTTATTTCTGTCACTGATCTGTCCATTACACAATATATATATATACCAAATACAACAGGGGTAAAAATCAAAGTACTAGAAATGTGGGTGCCAGGAACTCCTTCCATAGTTAATGAGTGTGTTCAGTCTTCGAAAGTTTTATCTCCTTTTGAAATTGTTGCTAACTTACCCATTTGCAGGTCTCCTCCAGTCACCCTGCTTCAGCTGTCTGCAACTAAGTTTGTAGAGGAGATGACATCTTCTGGGGACATTACTGCCTTCCTGAGTAATGATAGCCAATATTCCCAGCCTGCCAACATCAGTGCAGAAATCCCAAATGCCAGATCCCTTGGAAGCCCCAAAAAGGAGACAAATAAGAAGCCCACGAATGCTATTCAGATGCTGTTTCAAAAGGCAGCAGAGAGGAAACAGGCCCAGGTGGCAGCTGGGTCCTCTCTTCCTGGTGTCTCTAATGAAAGGGCAGTGCAATCAACTGAAGAATCTGCTGACTTCCCTGATGAAGGATTCATCTGTGCCAGCAGCCAGACTCCACAAGAACCAGTGGAGCGAAATATCAGCAAAAGCAAACAAAACTGTGTGCCAGAACAGTTCTGTCTAGAACAGTCTTTACCCATCTCTGACCCTTTGATTTGTTCTGGTTACACAGCCCCTTTGGAAATAGCAAAATCTGAAGCCTCATCAGAGCTTGAACTATTGAAAGAAAAGACAGTGCAGTCTCCCAGATTTTCCTGGACAGGAGCCGATAGCTCGACTCCTTCCTCCTCAGATGACTGGATATTATGTGAAAAATGTAAACAACAGGTTGCAGTGTGGGAGTTCACGGAACACTTGGACTATCATTTTGCTGTGGAACTGCAAAGCTCTTTCTCAGGATCCAGCTCCTTCAAGCCACCTACACCTGTTGGCAGTTTCCCGCCAAAAGGCAAAAGCAAATCCAGGGCACACGCAGCCTCTAGTGCCAAACGGCCAAGGCAGGACACAGTCAGGACATTGGATTCCTTTTTTAAGCGGCTGCCTCCTTAAATGGCAGCTCACTTGAGCAACTGGCAATCCGTTTCAGAGAACAAAAGTGCAATTTTCCTAATAAACTATGCTTAATAAATCCTGCAAGGAACTAATGGTGTTGTGAGGGAAAGAAAGCTTTCATAACAGACTTGTTTCTGCTGCTCCATTTCTTCTGTCAATTGCAGCCTTATATGAAATCAGGGTTGCTGTATCAAGATGCTACTGAAAGGATACACCCAATTGTGATGGCCTTAGTGGCAATATATGTAGTAATCGCAAGCATTTTTATGTAAATGCTTCTTCAATTATTAGATCAACTGCAAGAAGTGTAAAACTCTGCTTAGAATCAGTAAGTGATATGATATGGGCTGTTTCAGTACTTTTTGCAAAGTGTCCACTCATTTTGCCATTGAACCTGTCACATCGAATGGGTTGTTTGATGGTTCTCAGCATGTGATTTTTAACTGGGATTAAAGCCAGAGAAAAAAATTGCGGGGGAACACATACAGGTAGCCCCCAAGTTACAAACATCTGACTTACAAATGACTCATAGTTAAGAACAGGGTGGGACAACAGGAAGTGAGAGAAATCTACCCCTAGGAAGGGAAATTCACTTCTGAAAGACTTATCATGGGGAAAAGGTATCTCAACGGAAGCTGTATGAGTAATCCTTGTTTCCACAACAAGCCAAATTTTTCAAAATCCAATTGTCACAAGGACAGAAAGTGAGGTGAACTCTTCTGGACAGGGGCACAGACAGCAAAACAAACAGCAGCAGGGCGTTAAACCTTCCCTATGCTATCCAAAGTACACACACACACAAAATGTCTGGAGTTAATTTGTACATGAGGCTGGCTTATGCATGTGAATATACCGTATTTACTTGAGTCTAATGCACCACTGGATCTAATGCGCACCTGTTTTTGAAATCCTGAAACCAAAAAAGCTATTTGCTGCTGAATGTAAAGCACAATAGCAAAAAGTGCACTCTGTCATTTGGACAAACGTGTGCATTATAGTGGCTTCCAGCTTAGAATTCCTTTTTTTAAAACAAGTGTGTTCGGACATCAAAGCTTTCAGCAACGGAAAAGAAAACCTTGGAGTGCATCTATGCTGTAGAATGAATACACTTTAACTGCCCTGGCTCAGTGGGGGATGTAGTTGGGGATCATGGGGGCTACGAAGGAATGCTGAAGCCTCACCAAACTACAAATCCCAGCATTGCATAGCATTGAGCCATGGCCATTAAATTAGAGATTATGTCCCTCAAAGAGGAGCTTCTGAAGCAGCTTCCCCTTTTGCTTTGGCTCAGCCGCAAGATTATTGTATAACTCTAATCTAATGTGCACCCCAATTTTGTGCAGGTAATTTAGTCAAAAAAGTTGAGCATAAGATTGGAGTAAATAGAGTACTATATGCAAAGACTCCACAGCAAAGATTTCAAGTGATTCAGAATGGTAGCTTGGATTTTCTGCATGGAGAGCACTTCAGAGTAAATCCTCATGCAGATGGGTTTCCACCATGAGTGCATGTTGTGATCACCTGGAGATTAGAATAAATTATTAGAATCAATATTTTGCTTCTGTCATCTTTATTGTATTTTGCTACTATGTTTTTAATTCCCTGGAGGGTAGGTTATAATTCTTTCAAAAAGATCTTGTGTGGTGAAGTATTTTCAAGATAAATATATAAATTGTGACCCTCAAGAACTACCATGGAAAAGAAGCAAAGCTAACTTAATTGGTTATATAGTACTGATGTGATAATGATTGGCTGTTTTAACAGACATAGAATTCTAACACTGTAGTAATATGTTTTTTTAAAAAGCTCTAAGTGGTCTGTTGAGTATGGATATTATTTAAATCTTAAAAGTTCAGTCTGCATGTTTTGTTTTCAAAAGAAATTATTGCGTAGGGGGGGATCTCAATACTGTTCTTGGCTTATGATAAAGCATATCAAGATAGTCTCTTTACTCGATGTTAAGTATGAAGAATACTAATAGGTTTGACATGCTCAATAGAAACTGTAACCTATTAGGATCGGTCCACTGTGTTGTGATAGGAATAGCGTCAGGGTCTTATTTAGCTAGTGTTCCCCAGCATTCACTAAACACAACATACAGGCTGTGCAAAAATATCCTGTCGAGCAGTGTTTCTCAACCTTCCTAATGTCACAGCCCCTTAATACAGTTTCTCATGTTGTTGTGAACCCCTAACCATACAATTATTTATGTTGCTATTTCATAACTGTAATTGTGCTACTGTTATAATTTGTAATTCACTGGACCAGATTTGGCACAAATACCCCATACAGCCAAATCTGAATACTGGTGGGGTTGGGGGTGATTTTGTCATTTGGGAATTGTAGTTGCTAGGATTTATAGTTAACCTACAATCAAAGAGCGTTCTGAACTCCACCAACGATAAAATTGAACCAGATTTGGCACACAGAACTCCCATGACCAACAGAAAATACTGGAAGGGTTTGATGGGCATTGACCTTGAGTTTTGGAGTTGTAGTTCACCTACATCCAGAAAGCACTGTGGACTCAGTGATAGATCCGGACCAAACTTGGCACAAATATGTTTTCCGATGGTGTTTGGCATCTCCTCTGAAACCCCCTTGCGACCTCCAGGTTGAGAAACTATAGAGTTTGTGTTAAGAGGAAACAAGCAGTAATCAGCAAATACTGCTACTACCAGTTGTTGAATTACGTTTTGTACTCAAGTACTATTTTGCTTTCTTCAGTTTTCCAAACAGTGTCAAATTAATCTATTAATGGCAGTAGGGTATCTCTTCTCAGAGTAGTGACTCAGAACCCAAACTGGTGTGGCCTGTCTGATAAGGGAAGTCAGCATATACTGGGTAAAGATAGATGAGTATGTCCTATTGGCTTGTAAACATTATGGTACATGCATTCCTTCCTCACCATAGAATGAAGAAAGGTCAAGGCAGGTAGAGTTTTGAAAGCCAAAACCTTCAAGAGCAGGGAATGTACAATCTTCAGTTTAAAAATACAGTGCCACTTTATTCTTTCAATAAAACATCTTTATTTTGTACATTATATATAAAGAGAGATGAAGGTATCTCCCTGCTTTAAAGAGTTCACAAACAATGGATATGAAAAGCATGGCACTAAAAACACACAAGAGAAGGCAAGGGAAGGAAACAACCAAATGTCAGGACTGACAGCACCTTGTATGTTTATGTTTACAATGGAGTTAACCCCGCCACCTCTGTAAAATGCAGGGAAAGCAGTTTCCTCTTTTGAGAACAAACCTGCTTAGACCATAGTGGAAGGTAAATACGGTATAGAGTATATTTTCATAAAAAGTGGTGATCCAAATGATTAAAAGGGAAGTAGAGAAAGAAACTTTTGTTACAAAAGAACCATGATAAATACTGGTAGGTGGAATTTAAAACTCCTTTATAACAAGTGCTCATTGTACTATTGAAAAATTATGAATGAAGTGAATTATCATTGGTTCTGTTGAAAAAGCATCAAAAACCTAGAAGATTTCTATGTAGCAAAACAGCTTTGAATGGTAGTATAACATTTAATAATTCAGCACTTGTAGGACAAATGAAACAGAGGAGGGGTCTTGATTTAATGAAAAGTCAGCATTATTTTTTTCTTTACTGGCCATGCTGACTCTTATTTGGACACTCCCTCCCACTGCATCAGTGATTAAGATATATTGAAGTAAAATAATACTGTTGTCAGCTTTTAAAATGAAATGCCCTGAAACAAAATTATAAATGAAATCTTTAAGTGCTTTAAGGTTGCCTTACTCCATTGCTAATTTAGCAAACAAGTAACATCAAGCAGTTGTAAATAAGATCATAGATATAAATATGGTTTTCTGGGACACAGACAATAGTAGTGTTGTTGAATTGCTGCAGTTGGCCATGCTGCACAAGAGTCAAAATTGTGACAACACTGCAAAACTTCCTGTGATGACTGAATAACCCTTGATGGTTTAATTATAGGAGATTAAAGCGTGTTTCCCCAAGAAACAGGTTGGACTGGAATCCCAGTGCACTCACTGGCTAAATCGGACTGAACAGACGTCTCAAGATTGTAAGTAGCTTCCCAATAAGCAGCCAATAAAAACAGGGAGATTTGTTTGAGGGCTGCAAGTATAGATGGCTCCTGATCAATGCTCCTAATAAAGGAGAAATGACTTTCAGAGGGCCCTGTGGAAACATGGCAATATTACATTCATGAGCTAAGAGCTGTAGTTGCTATTAGACTGGTGTTTCTGAAATGTTCCTTCCCAACTCCCTTTAAAAATGAGTCTTTCTTTAGCTGATAAAAGGAACACAATCAATAGATTAAATGAAAATAACTTAAAGATGAATTTAAAGAAACTTCCTGAGCTGTACTGCAGGGAATGAAAAACATTCAGCTGTCACTCTTAGTCACAAAACTAGGCAGCAGGACACTAAAAGGAACTGGGCCCGGTGGGAAGAAATGGGTCCGCTGCTGCTGCTGTCTCCCAGGTGGCAGAAACCCCAGGCTGCAGCGCAGAACACAAAGGGCTTCGCCCTCTACCCAGGAATAATTTCTCAACGAAAGCAGGAATTGCCAGCCAAGGCAAAGATGCAGCTAGCTGCTCTCTTGTCTATTCCAGGAAAGGCAGGGATATGGAAGCAGCAGGTGGTGGACAAACAACATGCTTAACTTGTTCCGGGAAGACCACTTAATAATCCAAAAGGTGGTTCTGGCTTCTGCCATGCGAAAGAGGAGATCTGCCCATGTACCTCGACTGGCCAGCAGCAACTCTGCCCACTAGGGAGAGGTTCCTTCCCTTCTCCTATTGCTTACATTGGGGAAACTCCACAGATGTGGCAAGAGTCAAAAACTGACCAGCTCGGCATCCAGGCCCTGCTCCAAGCCGTTTTCACCAATGGTGATAGCTTGAATGTAAGTAACATGTCCAATACCTTTGGTAACACCTTCCCGGAAAAGAAGTTTTGCTCCTATCTTCAGATACTCAGGGTGTTTAATGAATCTGAAGCAAACCACAGCCTTTTCTCCTGTCCGCAGCTTATCCTGAATGAAAGAATACAGTATAGTTACAAGATCAATAGTTCTGCTCCCCAACCTAAGGAATCCTAGTGATTATCTATTTTGTGCACTGATATCCTGCCTTGAATCCCTTTACTGAATCCCCAATAAAAGGATTCAAGGCCGTTACAACATATTGTATAAATGAAAAAACATCAATAATCAATAACTATAAATTTAAAGTTAAGACAATTAGCAAACATAAAATAATTAAAAGAGTATATACAAAGATAAAAACAGCACATCATTAAAAGCCCATTCCAGTCAGTTTTTAAAAACCTAAGAATGTTTTGATTTGCCAATAGAAAGACAGCTAAGAAGGGGTCATCCTAGAGATGGGAAGGCCTGGAAAAAAACCCAACAGAATAATTGAGGGAAAAACAATTCCCCCCCCCCCCAACCCGAAAAAATGAAAAAAGTGTGTATGATATGTTTTCCCCCAATGATATATAGATACATTATTTATAATGGGGCAATAACATATTCTATACCCCCCCCCCCCCCCATTTTTCCAGAAAAAATGGCTTTGAAAGAAAACCTGTTTTTCCCCCAAATTTTCTGGGTTTTTTCCCAGGCCTTCCCAACTCTAGGTCCATCTACAAAGTCTAGGAGCTGCCACTGAGAAGGCCACCCTTGTTCCCACCAAGTGAGTCTGAGAAAGTGGCAGAGGAAGGAAGGAAAGAAAAAAAGGAAAGGAGAGAGGGAGGGAGGGAGGGAGGAAAAAGGGAAGGGAGGAAAAAAGGAAGGAAGGAAAAAATCAAGGAAGAAAGAAGAAAGGAAAGCATGAAGGAAGGTTTAATGTGTATGTTAACAGCATATGGCACAAGAAAGAACATTGAGAGACTGCAGGCTAGCTGCATGAAAGTAAAACAGGAATTCCTCAGCACTACCTCTGCATGAAGGAATGGCGCCACTCTAGAACAGTACCTCCAAGTGGCATCCTGGCAAACTAACCCAGAAATATACCGTGGCTGATGGCATCAAAAGTTAGAGATCTAGGATGCAGTACACATATGTTGGCTCTCACTTCTACAAGGAACCTATTCACATCCTAAAATTGAACAAATTGAAAACTATTCATCCATATGAGAAGCAGGGCCAGGGTTACACGCACTGCACCTGTATAAAGACTAGGTAGTCAATGGAATGAATCTGCATCTAGAAAATGAAAGAGGGGTTGTCTACCACAGCTTCTCTTCTGAGACTTCAAGTGGGGTTAACTGCAGAAGATTCCTTGAGGGCCTTCTCACTTTCATCCTCCCATCTGAGGTGCCTCAGATGGGAGGATGAAAGTGAGAAGGCCCTCAAGTAATTATTGGGCAGGAAAATACCTCCGTTCTCATCCTGAAACTTACCTTTCCATGGATCTTCTCAACAACTGCTGTTTGCCGCACATTGCCAACATGCACTGTTACTTGGAATCCCTTCCGAAAAGTTGTGGCATGGAAGAGCAGAACAATTTCAGCTTCAAACGCTGAGCAAATGGTAGGGTTCATTTCTGGGCTGACCATCACCATGCCCTAAGTGACAGGAAGATTGTTGGATCAATTCTTTTGACAACGGCACTTACAAGCTACAGTATTACTGAACTTCCTGATAATGTCTACACTTCTCCTCTGAGAAGCTGACATCTCCTCAGAACCAAAAGAGGGGAGAGAGAAGGCAAGCATGTGTATGTGGGAAAGATGACCCCCCAAAGCCATGATTCCACCATTTATATTTCTCAAACTTAAATCAATATGCCTGTGCACTGTGGTTTTAGCTATGAATAGTTTTTAATGTTTTGAAGGGTTTTAACTGTTTATTTTTAATACTATTCATATTTTATTCTGTTTTGATATTTGTGTTTTTAATGTTTTATTGTATTGTATTGGTTTTATTGTGAGCAGTTTTGAGTATTTTTTTATAGAGAAAAAGTATGATACAAATAACAACAATATCAATAAGACATTGAAGAATGGAGTTAATTGCCCACAGCAAGGGCAAATAGTATATGTCCTTCTAGCAGACTACAACTCAGCCCTAGGCAACATAGCTGAAGGTGGGCAATGATGGGAGGTGCAGTCCCATAGAGCCTGATTCTTGGACCCCAGAATGTCTTCTCCAGTTGGAATTCTAGAGGAGCCACAGCTGCCAATTCCTCACAGAAACCTCAGTTCCTTATACATTATTCCCAAAAGGAAGGGAAATGTACTTAAAGCCACAGCTTCCATAGATGGGAGGAGGACTCACTTTGCGCAGTAGCGAGCGGTCAAAGTGTCCGAGAGCCAGAGTGGCAGCCTGCCCAGCACGAAGCACACGGCACGCCGAACGGTTCCTTTGGATGCTGCATACTCTCAGCTGTAGAAATTTGCCATCATCGGTTGGACCAACCACCAGGTTTTCTCCTTCTTTACATATTCCACTGGTAAGAACATGAAATTAGCATATTGTATTTAGCTCTCAAGAGGCAGGAAAATCCTTTCTTCTGCACCTACTTAGGAATGATACCTGAAATAAACCTTGTAAAGGATTTCCCTTGATCTTAAGTCTAGCTGAGTTCAACTCTGGGGGGTGGTGCTCATCTCCATTTCTAAGCTGAAGAGCTGGCATCGTCCATAGACATCTTCTAGGTCATGTGGCCGGCATGACTGCATGGAGCACTATTATCTTCCTGTCGAAGCAGTACCTATTGATCTACTTACACTTGCATGTTTTCGAACTGCTAGGTTGGCAGAAGCTGGAGCTAACAATGGTAGCTCACCCCGCTCAATGGATTTGAACCACCGACCTTCTGATCAGCAAGTTCTGAAGCTCAGCAGTTTAACCCGCTGCACCACCATGGCCCCTGAAATAGCTTCTCTAAATTGATATATGGAAAAAATTAAAAGTAAAACCGTATATTATGTGTTGTTATGCCCTCCATCCAGGAGTCTTTAAGGCTATATTTCAGTTACTTATATTAAAGCAAAAAACTGAAATCCTTGACTCAATTGGTAAGGAAACCAGTGATAACCTACCACTGGTACTGTATTCCCTAGCCTACAGTGATATGGGGAATCTTACACTGCTGGATGCCCCTTCCTTTCCTAACCATCCATCATGTAGGACCCACCTTGATAGGGTTCCGCCAACAACAGTGCCCACCTCAGGCACAGTGTAGATCTCATCCACCTGTAACAGGACAAGACACATTAGACCTGCTGTGCAGCTGTCACATGAATACTTCAGAGCTAGACTGAACAAATATTTCTAAGAATTTCAATGCAGACACTTGTATGGGACCTCCATTGAAGAGTAAGGCATTCCTGTGTACATTTACAGCCGGAACAACCTAAGGGTCTATTTTTCCTTATATAAAAATCAATCATGACTTTAGTGCGGGCATGGGCAAACTTCCAAGTCCAAAACACTTGGGGGGTGAAGTTTGCCCATGCTTGCCTTAGCCATCCGCTGCTTGAAGCAAATAATGCAAGAGCATCTTGGTCTCATGCATTATGCAGGCAGTACTATTTGAGCTCTCCAATCAAGACAGGATACACTTGTGTACCTGGAACTCAGTAAGCTGTTGCATTAGCTCTTCCTGTTCTTTGCTGTTTGTCAGAGGAGGAAGGATGTTGAGGAAAACTTTCAGAAGCTCCAAATTTTCTCCAGAAACACTAGACAAGGTGAAGATAGGAGTGATGCTGCCAACAGATGAAAAAAATATGCTAGCATTCTGCAGTTCTGTGCACAGTTTTAATCTAACACAATGGGACCTCTTCGACGTTAATGTGCAAACATCTGAGGACATGGGACACAAGTTCTCATCCCCCGCTAAATTTAACTAATGTCCTGTTGGGAATTTATGCTGCTGTAAACTAACATAAAACAGTGCTGTTTAGAATTGCAGTGGTATCCCCAAGGAAAGGAGCACTGTCAAATCTGTGCCTTTAGACCACTGTACAAACTGAGGAAGCAGTGGGAGTTTGGCAGTGGTGTCAACTTGTGGCCCTCCAGGTGTTTTGGACTTCAGGTACCAGAATTCCTGGCTACTGGACAAGATGGTTTGGGCTTTTGGGAGTTGGAGGCCCAAACACCTGGAGGGCCACAAGTTTGACACCTCTGGCATAACAGATACAACAGTGCAGTACTTTGTGGGACAGATCACAAGGGACAGGTCAATAGCCCTCAACACTGTCATGGAATACAATCAATGTCATGAATGCCCCACAGCCAGCTGGAAAAAATATCCTTTGTTGTGTCCCATTGTAGGAGCCCCTATTGAACAGCACAACAAATTGTATGGTATCCCCATTGTGCACTGTTGCAATTCTCTAACAAGATTGTGTGTTGTGTCAGTGATGCATCTCCTATTCCAAGAAGAAGCAAGTGATTCTTACTTAGGAGACTGGGCAAACTGCTGTGCTGCTGTGACTGCGTCGTCATCTGATGTTACCAGCAAAGGGAGCTTGTTGCAGCCGGGCTGTTTCAGGATCCGCTCCAGCTGCTTCACTGTCCGCTCCACTGTGGCTTTTGAGCACAAGTCCACTTTGCTAATGACAATGAAGAAAGGGACTTTGAGGGCCATAGCCAAGCCTAGATGCTCTCGAGTTGTGCCTGCTGCAAGAGGGGTAAAAGAAAACCAAGATGAGAAAGCAGGAAGTCAAACTTACATATATAGCTCTAGGACACATGTGTCAAACTTGAGGCCCATGAGACAAATCTAGTGTGCACTGCATCATTTTGTGTGGCTCCCAGATGCTGGACTACAACTCCTGTATTCCTCATCATTAGACATCAGGACTAGATATGATGCGAGTAGTGATACAGTAACATCTGGAAGGCTGCCGTTTGTCCTGTTTAGTCAGGATAGGGGATTGAATTCAGATACACAGCTTGTGGATATGATGTCTGAGCCACAAGTACTGTTGGGTTGCAATTTCCATTATCTTCAGTCCACAGAGTGGATAATTAAAAGTGATGGGAGTTGCCATTCGATAATATCTGGGGAGGACTCAAACTATATAAAAACTAAGGAGCACCAACCACTATGTAAAAAAATTACACAGTTGGTCCTCTGTAACCACAGATTCTCCACCCATGGATTCAAAGGCCATTTGAAGCTAACTAAAAGGCTCACGTGGCATTTTTTTCTTTTGAAGTCAGTCGTTTGTACTGACCACAACTGCACATGCCAGTTTTCTCAAACCCTAAAGATTAGGCAATGCTAACTTACCAATCCCAGTGTTTGCGCTCACCACCAGCATTGCAAAGTCTGGGCAGTAGCTTGTGAGGCCAAAGATAGTGGTTTTCAGGTACTTATGATGGCCGGCCAAATCAATGAAAGTGATCATCTTGGAGGAGCTCTCACAGATCTCCTCAGCTGTCCGTGAGTCACTGTAATTTACTACCTGAAAGGAAGAAGATATGTCTGCTGAACACTGAAGATATGTCCTTTATATACAGTAGAATAAAACAGTAACCCAAAAGTGCAAACAACCTGCCCTCCATACCTCTCCCTTGCTGTTGAAGCCAAGAATTTCAAAGCTGATGCTGGATGTCCTCCCAGACTGGATTTCGTGCAGATGCCGGAAAAGGTTGAGTCGAGCTCTACCCCGCCCATTATCAAGTTCTCCTTGTGTCAAGACACCTAACAGAGTTGATTTGCCTGAATCCACATTCCCAAGCACAGCCACTCGTAGGTCTAGGAACTTAAGAAAAGAAGGATAAATGCTAATTAAATTTGTTTCTAACACATATCAACAAGAGTATCTGAAGTTCCGGTCCAGTGTATCTGTCCGAACGTATCTCCCTCTACGTCCCACCTCGGAGTCTGAGATCATCTGGGGAGGCCCTGCTATCGACCCGACCACTGTCACAAGTGAGGCTGGTGGGGACGAGGAGCAGGGCTTTCTCAGTGGTGGCCCCTCACCTGTGGGGACGAGGAGCAGGGCTTTCTCAGTGGTGGCCCCTCACCTGTGGAACTCACTCCCGGGGGAAATCAGGGCATCATCATCCCTCCTCGCCTTTAGGAGAAGGGTGAAGACTTGGTTATGGGACCAGGCCTTTGGGCACTCCGGCAATTAAATCAGACAACCAGGCGAGTAAGACCAGCAGGATTGATGAAGTGGAACGTAAAACTAGATCTATGAGTAGCGAACGCTGACCATGTAAGAGGAGAAACTGGGTTTGTATTTGGTTTTATTGATTTTATGGTTATAATGTATATTTGGTGTTAACTGTGTATTGATGTAATTTTGTGTTTGATTGTTTTTATGATGCAGGCATCAAATTGTGCCTTGCTTTTGTAAGCCGCCCTGAGTCCCCTTCGGGGTGAGAAGGGCGGGGTAAAAGAACCCCAAATAAATAAATAAATAAATAAATAAATAAATAAGTACACATGATTAAGGTTTGACTGCTTGGCAAACTCATGCTCAAAGGGATCCAAAATTATCCTGATAATTTAAACAATTCTGCAATACCACAATAAAAACATTATTCAGAGACAATGGGAAATTTCTGCCTTGCTCTGCAAAGGCTAAACAAGGTTAGAAACTGGCTCTAGTATAGTGAAATGCAACAACTTTTTCTCCGCCATGAAACTGCTGCTATAGCTTTCTCCAAAGCACAAATCAGAACAGTAAGTAAACTAACTTCCACAAACTAACTTCAATTAGAAGGTCACCTAAACAGAGAACCACCCACAGCAGACAGCATTCAAACAGATTGTTACCTGCTGGTTATCTGGGACTTTTCGGACTAGAACCTCTGTTATCTTCCTGGGAATATCACTGTCATAATCAACTTCTCTTTCCCGTAGAACAGTGATATCAGCTCCTACTCTGCAAAGGAAAAAAAATAAAATTATGTTTATAGATAATCTACAAGGAATTCCTGAATAAGCAACTGTGCCATCAATACATATACAAATTGAAACTGAATCCAGACAAGACAGAGGTGCTTGCCAAGAGTCCTATCCTAGGAATGGATGTGTGTCAACCAGTTCCTAGTTCCTTGGCTTTCAAGTTAATAAATATTGCAGGACATCAAGACCTCCACATCAGATTTAGAAACAAATGTTGCCTTGACCTGTCCAAGAAGGATAATTGCACATACTTCTCAGCCATTCGCCGGAGTGTTTTGAGCGAGGCACGCATCTCTTCTTCCGACAATCCTACAAGCAGCCCATTGTCCTCAACGCCAATCTGGTAGACTGCTTCCCCACGGCCTTCTTGTAGTCGCCACTTCATCTGCGTTACTAGATGTTCAAAGCGGTACTGAGAAGGATTGACTAGTTTCAGCTGCCCAAAGAAAGCAGTGATTACAGTGAGTGTGCAGCCCAATGGGTTTGGGTTTCCTTTCTCTGGGAGTGGGGGTATTTTCACTAGAATTTGGTCAGCTTTACCCAAGAAATGGATAAGAGTAGTTTTCAGCTTTTTTGGGTGACTATTTAGTTGATATGTAACAGATACACCCCAAGCAGCTAAATTAAGGAATTGCGTAACAATTAATAACAAAGAAGGCTCTTTGCTTTCTAAAAAGTACCATGTGATTTTGAAAGAAATATCTGCATTCAGATATTTGAAAACAAGAAAGGCAACACATTAGCAAATAGCTGCAAACCTTAACCAAATGCATTTTGATATTGTTGTCTCCAAACTATATATTTTTTACATTATTTCAGAAATTAAAACACATAATTTTGAAGGACTAGTATGACTGGAAGCATAATTTGATTTTGTGGCCTCTAGCATAAATAATCTCATTTGGAGAGACCCCTCCTACAAGACTCACCTTATATTCTATGTTGCCATCTTCTGCCTAAATTAAAGAAGAAAATTTGACATTAGTGACCTTTACAGTGTTCAGCACTTGACAACACAGTGAAACCAGCGCATAACCACAACAGGCTATTAATATCAAGAGTCACAGAATGCTATCATTCCGGTTCCTATCTCTATGAAGAACTGCAATGAGTCAACATATAAGTACAATTCTGGAACTTTTCTGCTTGGTTCACCATTGTTTGTTTTACAAACAAAGCAACTAGTAAACTATTATGAATGCCACAAGGGCTGAATCGGGCCTTTAGAAGTCAGATAATCAGATAACAGGGAAGGCCTCAAAACCTGTCTCCAGAAGTAACTCCCATTCAAATATTTCAAGCACACTTTGGCCTTCCACTGTGCCTTCACAAATCCACTAAGGTCACTGAGAATGCTTTGGTTACCAAGATACATCTTGATACCACTGTGCTGTTACCAGACCTAATATGAAAGTGACATAAATTTTAGAAAGAGTAAGAATTTTAAAATTTGATCTATACAACTTGCTGGAACAATTATTGACAAACTAACTCATATCTCATTGGACGTTCTGGATTAGTGGAAACGGTAGGAAAGCTCCCTCAACTGTTCTACACATCCACACCAAACCAGGAAACCAGATAATGTGAAATTGAGAACTTTACACTTCAGCAATAGTCATGCTATACCTCTTCCGGTATTAATATTGAAGCTATCTATTCACCCCCACACCCTATATTTAGCTACATAACTTCAGTCCACTCTGGTAAATAGAAGAATTTGCTGACAATTCTTCCTCACATTAGTTTCTCCTGTGGTAAATGTTGCCAGAGTAGATAAATGTGACCAGCAGCTGAGAAAGGGAACTTTTAGTCAGGATGTGGTAAACAAGCTAGACAATGTCAAAGGAAATATAAAACACTGCAACCTTTCCCAAACTAGGTATTTGTGTTATATTTTCCAAAAGGTTTTCCTCCCTGGTTAAAGGTCAATATGCTAAGGACTACTTATCAAACACAAAGTAGGAAAGACCAGGGTTAGTCTGTAAAAAGTAGGTCTGTACTGATCCTGTTCTCCGCTTGAGGTACACAGTGGGAAAGTATCACAAACCAGACTGCCCGCGGCATGTAAAGTGATCTACTCATGTTTAATTTCTTCCTGAAATAATCTTGCCGCTCTGGAAGTAAACATCACTCTCTTTCCCAGCATATTTCCCTTCTCATGGGAAAGACTGAGTTTTTATTCCATGCGGCTTCCTTCTTTTCCAACGCAAAAGCGTGATGGCAGAAGGAAATACTTGGCAAACAATACCATGGAATTAACTCCCTGTATATTGGAGCAGAGAAGGTTACAATGGAATACTTCCCTTATCTGACTACCAAATCTCCTGGCTTCTACTTATATTTTAGTTGCACAACATCACTCCTAGATCAACAGTTTTAATTGAGGGTAATACAAACCTAACACCTATAACAGAAACGCTGCATTCATGTTTATGTTTCCTAAGGGCCACAAGTTGTGTACACAGTACATATTTATTGAACTGTAGAAGACTGTCAGAAAGAGTGACAAGTTCAGGCATGCCCTGAGATAGTCCACACAAGTCAACTGAGGACAGAAAAATAGTACCACTTTCAGGGATCAGTGCAGAAAGTAATCCTGTTATCTGAGAGATGGATCACTACCCTGAAACAAAAGTCTGAACTCAGAATTATTAATCCTCACATCTTTTACAAGTTGTCAGACACTACTAAAAACACTGCAAGCTGGACCAGAGCACTTTTGACAATGAAGGAGAATCCATGCTGTACATCTATTTCAATTTTAAGTAACAAAACATAAACTAGTGATGACAAGCTGGCTTGGGGATCTTTATCAAGGCAGTTTAAAATCAAGTTTATCTTGCAGCAAACACTACTGTACAGCGTAATTCACAAAGAAAGACTACACTGGTGCCTGAGGTGTACAGTTCCATCTCGCTGAGCTCCCACCCTTGAATGCTCCTTGACCTATGCACCCCCTCACACAAAAAGACTACAAAAACACCTTTGCTCATAAAATAAAGTTGGAAGGTACAATAAACTTAAAACCTCTTTCATAATATCTGGTTTCCTTTATGGGCGTTATTTATTTAGGTGGCCGGGCCTGTAAGACATGCTTAGTCTAAGAGAAATTAAGCTCAGAGACAGATTTATCAAAATTTCACTGAAGCATATGTGGAATTACAGTGACACATACTTCACTGAAGTGGGTAACTATGAAACTCACCGGCATAGATATACAGTATTTATGACTATCAGTCTGGATGGCTTTCAAGGTGGAATGGATAAATTCATGGCCAAGGAGTGAGACAGATGCAGTTGTGCTTGTGTCTGGTTGGCAAGCTGCCCTTTGGGGAAACTAGTTGCCCATTTTAGCTATAGAATTTGATTAAATGGGCCTTTGGTCTGATCTATGGCTGTTCTTATATTCCTGTAAGAGGTACTTTCTTCTGAATCTAGTCTTAGCACAATATAAACTATTATGTCTGACCATTGGCAGAAATCTCATTACAGGCAGTTCCCAAGTTACAAACAAGATAAATTGTGCAGATTTGTTCCTAGATTGAATATGTATGTAAGCAGAAACTGGTACAATTTTAAAGTGTAACTTCAGCCATGCATGCAATCCTCCCCTAATTGGGTTTCTGATATCCAAAGCTAATATATATATATATAAGCTTTGGATATCAGAAATCCAATTAGGGGAGGATTGCATCCCTGTGGTGTTTGTTTTATTGTCTGTGCCCCTGTTCAGAAGATTTAATCTCACTTTCTGTCCCTGTGATAATTGGATTTTGAAAAATTTGGCTTGTTGTGGAAACAAGGATTGGAGGAGTACTCTGGTTGTGCTTTTCCTGCATGTCAGGGGGTTGGAGTTGATGGCCCACGTGGTGTCTTCCAACTCTGTTATTCTATGAGACACTTTTTCTGCATGAAAACACTTCCAGGAGTGAACTTCCCTTCCAAGGGGTAGATTCCTCTAACTTCCTGTGGTCTCACCCCCGTTCTTAACTGTGAGTTGTTTATAAGTTGGATGTTTGTAACTTGGAGAATGCCTGTAGTTGATTCCTTTTTGTTGAACGAGAATCAGGTAGCACATTGTGCTTTTCGTACGAGCTTCTTGAAAACAAGTTTGCTAACCAAAAACTGAATATATGTATTAAAAATACATTTTTCATTAATCTCAACTGCAATTACTGCATTTCTTCAAATCTAAGACGCACTTTTTCCTATATAAACATCTCTAAAAATGGGGTATGTCATAGAATCACAGGTGTATCTTATGTATTTTTGTTGTTGGTGTTGCTATTGAAATTAGGGTGTGTTTTATAACTGAAGGAACATAGAACTACAAAATCTAAAGTTCAGTTGAAAAGCACCACAGTCCTTTGAAATCTCATTAGTTAGCTGCATTTCAAGTGACAGCTGTATGAAGCAACTCTAGTGCAACTTGAGTGACTCAGAACCATAACAACGCGTAAGGGGAAAAAAGTTTGTCTAGAAGTAAACAACAAAAGAGCCGGTTTTGCTATTGCCACCAGACAAATGTACAGTCTCAGAATCACTTATTAACTATTAAAGCTTTCAACCTGGTATTTTGACAGCTGTTTGACAGAAACTAATATGAAAGATGGGAAAGGAGAGAGAAGGATGTATTGTCAAAGGGTTGTTGTGCGTTCTCTCTGGGTTGTTGTGCGTTTTCCAGGCTGTATGGCCATGTTTTCTCTCCTGAAGTTTCGCCTGCATCTATGGCAGGCATCCTCAGAGGTTTTGAGGTTTGTTGGAAATTAGGAAATGGGTTTATATAGCTGTGAAAAGTCCAGGGTGGGGAAAAGAACTCTTGTCTATTTGAGGTAGGTGTGAATGTTATTTCTCCCACCCTGGACATTCCACAGATATATAAACTCAATTTTCCTAGTTTCCTCTGAGGTTACCTGCCATAAATGTGGGTGAAACATCAGGAGAGAATTATTCTGGAACATGGTCATACAGCCCAGAAAACTCACAACAACCCAGAGAGAGAAGGACTGTCATAATTCACTTCTTCAGTTGTTTGAGCTTTCCACCAAGACTCTGGAAACAGGGTTCAAATCCCTATTCAATCATGGGAACCTTGAACAAATCACGCCCTCTCAGCTTCGGAGGAAGGCAAAACCAGATTCCTTTTGGACAAACCTTGGAAAGAAAACCATGTGACAGTGTGCCTTAGGATCACCATAATTCGGAAAGGACTTGAAGGTAAACAACAACCAAGTATTGAACTGAAATGGCATGTTTGCTGGCAGCAGGTGGGGAGCCGGATGAGAATACCTCCAGGATTACACACATCAAGATGATGGTGAAGGCAGCAGGCTATAATGTACTATCAAACTGCATCATTAGATGGGATGTATAGTTTTGGTGTATCCTTCTGTCCCTTCTCCACAACACAACACGGCAAGAAACCCCAACAGACAGCACTGATATGGAGCTATTTACTGTGAGACTGGGGGCCCTTCCACACAGCCCTATATCCCAGAATATCAAGGCAAAAATCCCATATTATCTGCTTTGAACTGGAATATATGGCAATGTGAACGCAGGTAATCCAGTTCAAAGGAGATACTGTGGGATTTTCTGCCTTGATATTCTGGGATATAGGGCCCTGGGTTTTCCTTACATTTGGGCAATGGATCTCAGAGATAAAACATTAGCACAGCTTGGGAATTAAGGGGAAACTTCATAAGAATCATAGAATCATAGAGTTGGAAGAGACCTCATGGGCCATCCAGTCCAACCCCCGGCCAAGAAGCAGGAAAATTTCATTCAAAGTACCCCCGACAAATGGCCATCCAGCTTCTGTTTAAAAGCTTCCAAAGAAGGAGCCTCCACCACACTCCGGGGCAGAGAGTTCCACTGCTGAACGGCTCTCACAGTCAGGAAGTTCTTCCTAATGCTCAGATAGAATCACCTTTCTTGTAGTTTGAAGTTTCTCCTAAGTGTTTTAAGGGACTGTAACTGTCAGTCCCTGGGTGCATCTACACCTGGCAGGTATAGAGTGTGCATCCCACTTTAAATCTATGGCTGCCTAGGAGATTCTTAGGTTCTCATTACACTAGTGTAGGCCTGGGCAAACTTTGGCATAAGCGGCTGAGGGGGAAAAGGAAGGGGCCGGAGGCTGTTAGGAATGGTGGGAGTTGGAGTCCAAAACACCTAGAGGGCCAAAGTTTGCTCAGGCCTGATCTACACTGTGGAATTTAGCACACTTTGAGGCTTTAACTGACATGACTCAAGGATGTAGAATCATGGGAGTTGTAGTTTAACAAGGCCTTTAGCCTTCTCTGTCAAAGATTCCTTCCAAGGAGGTTTGCCATTGCCTTCCTCTGAGGTTGAGAGAGTGTTGACTTGCTTAAAGTCATGGCCTGGCTCAGACTTGAATCTACACTGGGGAATTAAACGCAGTTTGATACCTCTTTAAACTCCAGGGCCTCAATGCTGTGCAATATTGGGAAGTGTTGCATTTTGGTGAGGCACTTTGGCACAGAAGGCTAAAGATAGATATAAACAAAACACTCCCAGGATTAAATAGTGTGTGTGGAACATTGGGAGGTTAAAGTGGTGTCAAACTGCGTTAGTTCCACAGTGGAGATGCAAAGTGGAGATGAACAGCGGGTGGGCTTCTCCTCACCTCAGGCGGCAGGTAGGGCGGGTTGTTGGCCTTCCCCCCGCGGTGCCTCCCGTTCTTCTTCCTGCCCTTGGAAGAGGAGCCCCCGCTGCTGGAGCCGGCTCCGGAGCGGCCTCGCAGAGCCCCCCCGCCGCTTCCGCCTCCGCCTCCTCCTGGCCGGCAGCAGCCGCCGAAGAGTTCCGAGACCCGCGAGTCCATCCCTGGCGGCGGCGCCTCCTCCTCCTCCTCCTGCCTCCCTTCCCCGGCTGAGCTCCTGCTCCTGCCAGCGCCGCACTTGGCTTCTGAGGGCTCGCTCTCTCAGGCTCTCCTCCTGGCGTCAGAAAGAGGAGCGCGGGGCATCACGGGAAGACAGGCCTCCGCAGCCGCTCCCTCGAACTACCACTCCCAGCCTCCTCTGCGCCCTGTCACTCTTTCGCAGAGCCCACACAGACACATCGGCCAGGCACCCTCAAACAGTGGTTCTCAACCTGTGGGTCCCCAGGTGTTTTGGCCTACAACTCCCAGAAATCCCGCCGTTTATCTCCACTGTGGAACTAACGCAGTTTGACACCACTTTAAACCCCCAATGCTGCACACACTGTTGAACTGAATCCTGGGAATGTTTTGTTTATATCTATCTTCAGTCTTCTGTGCAAAAGTGCCTCACCAAAGAGCAACACCTCCCAGGATTGCACCGTAATGAGATCTACAGAGATCTACAGAGACACTCCCTGGAACACCTCAGCAAGCGAGAGTCCAAAAGTGGCAGGCTCAAACCCAGAACCTCAACCAATGGCTGATACCAAATGAGAGACTCTCCTCTGGGCACACAGAAAACTGGGCAACTTGGAAGGCGCTGAACAGACTGCTCTCTGGCACCACGAGATGCAGAGCCAACCTCAAGAAATGGGGCTACAAAGTGGAATCCTCGACATGCGAGTGTGGAGAGGAGCAAACCACTGACCACCTGCTGCAATGCAACCTGAGCCCTGCCACATGCACAATGGAGGACCTTCTTGCAGCAACACCAAAAGCACTCCAAGTGACCAAATACTGGTCAAAGGGCATTTAATCAACTACCAAACTCACACATTTTGTATTTTGTCTGTTTGTTTGCTTCGTTCTGTTAGAAATGTAATATAATTGACTGGTTGCCCTAACACAACAAATAACAAATAAAATACTGTAATGAGGCCGTGGAGTTTAAAGAGCATCAAAATCCCTGCATATTTCCAATTTCCTATTCCTGGACTGCAACTCCAACCAATTCTCCAGATAGATAGATTAGATAGAGATAAGTAGGTAGGTAGATAGATGGATAAGGAGGACTGCTGGGAGTTGTAGTCCAAGAATAGGTAGAGAAGGAAGAAAGGGGGAAAAGAGGAAGGGAAAGAAAAGGTGGGGGTGGATGGAAGGGGATAAGGAAGGAGAGAAAGAAAGAAAAAAGGGAAGGAAGGAAAGAGAGAGGAAAGGAAGTAGAGAAAGAAAAAAGAGAAAAGGAGGGAAGGTAAGCCATAGCAACAGCTAGTAATAAATAATAATAAACTTTATTTATATCCCATCACCATCTCCCCAAAGGGGACTCGGGGCAGCTAACATGAAGCCAAGCCCAAAATTACAGTACAGCAAAATAAAATACAAGAAGCAAAACTACCATCAAAATAAATACATGAAATAACAAAATAAAATAAACAGTTTCAAAATAACATGATAGAGAAATAGAATACAGTGGACAGGCCAAATGTACTAGGAATAAAATTGATAAAACTCTGGATGAGTTATGTAGAATGTGTTTCTGAGGGAGAATGGGTTTCTAAGGGAGGAACACAAAAGGACTGTGTTTAATTCTCCAGTGTAGATTCAAATCTGAACCAGGCCATGATTTCAAGCAAGTCACACTCTCTCAGCCTCAGAGGAAGGCAATGGCAAACCTCTTCAGAATTAATATTTGACAGAGAAGGCTAAAGGCCTTGTTAAACTACAACTCCCATGATTCCATGGCCTTGAGTCCTGGCAGTTAAAGTGTCAAGGTGTGCTAAATTCTACAGTGTAGATCAGGCATGGGCAATCTTTGGTCCTCCAGATGTTTTGGACTCCAACTCCCTTTCTTTTCCCTCTCAGCAACTTAAGCTTAAGCGGCTGAGGGGGAAAATGAAAGGGCCGGAGGCTCTTAGGAACTGTGGGAGTTGGAGTTCTAAACACCTGGAGGGCCAAAGTTTGCCCAGGCCTACTCTAGCTGTTTAAAAAAGACTGCTATAGATCGGATCATGCAAAAGAGATGCACTGAGTTTTTATTTTATTGCAATATATGTATGTATATACACATATCATATACAATATAACATTGAAAAGTCACTGTTTACAATGATGTTACCCCATCCAACTTCCCTCCTTTCCCTAAGTCACAGATGTTTATAAACTGCTAGTCCTCTAACAAGTGAATTATTCTTTATTCTATTATCTAGTTTTCTTAATAATACAGATATCTTGTTTGCCAGTGGTTCTCAACCTGGGGTCCCCAGATGTTTCTGGCCTACAACTCCCAGAAATCCTAACAGCTGGTAAACTAGCTGGGATTTATGGGAGTTGTAGGCCAAAAACATCTGGGGACTCCAGTTTGAGAACCACTAGCCATTTAACCAAAACCTTGCTTCACCTGATCTCTGATAGACCTCAGACTATGACTTTGGATGTGGATTTGGTCTTGGATTGGTTAGCTTTTAATTAAATGTTTTAATTTATTGTTTAGTCAATGTTTTAATTGTGATTTTATTGCTATTGTTTTTGTGGCATCTAATGAGTGCCGATTGTAACCCGCTCTGAGTCCCCATTCGGGATGAGAAAGGCAGAATATAAATTTCTGAAATAAATAAAATAAATAATTCACCTGAGGGTGGTTTGAATTTGCTGTTGCTTTGGCACATACAGTTGATAAATGGTTTCCATATGGCCTCAAACAAAATCTCTTTCATTTCTCCTGATCTTACTTTCTAGGTTGGTTTCTCAGATAAGAGCTATAGCCCATACAGGCAGTTCCCAAGTTACAAACAAGTTAGGTTCTGTAGGTTTGTTCTTAAGTTACATCTGTTTTTAAGTCAGAACAGATACTCTAGCTACACACACAGAGAGATTTCTCTCACTTCTTGTTGTCTCAACCCTGTTCTTAACTATGAGTAATTTCTAAATTGGATGTTTGCAACTCATGGACTGTCTGTATTCCATTTATTCAGTTCTGCATTGGTACGTTTTCTTATTTTTCCATACTTTTACTGTTTCCATCCATGCTGCACAAACTAGAACTTCTATGAGGCCTTTGTTCTATAGGTTCTGATTTTTGTCCTCAAATAGAGAAGTAGCAATGCATCTCTATAATGGACCTTTCCTCCTGCTGTACAGCTTCTCCAGGTTAAGTCTGCTTGCTAAAATTTAAAATATGCGTGGACATAAGAACTCAATAGTCTCTTCTGCATAATTTTGATACTCTCCTGTTGATCCCCTGACATTTGAGTGGATAGCAATGCCATTTACCAACAGTATGTGTTCTATCTAATTTGAGCTGATTTATAAGGTAACTTGGCAACTCAAAAAGAATGAGAGTTACTTGGGGAAAAAAACAGACAAAACAAATGGAACTCAGTTGGGGAAGATTTGCCTTACAAATGTATTGAGATTTTCTGAGCTCACTGCTAAGTGGGCGGATGTTTACAAACAGAGTCACATCCTGGTACTTCCTTCAAGCACTCCCTTTGTACTTGGTTACTGTCGATGTCAACTCATTGCATCAGTTGGAAGAGATTGCTGTTTAGTGCCTTCATTGCATCAGGTCAAGGCAGGAGGGTGAGGCAGCATGTGCTCTGAAAAAACAATACCTTTGCTCCCTGACTTCTCCTATGAAGCTTACTGCTATACAAGTTCATCAGCTCAGGTCAAGTTCAATTATCATCAGTGGCAAACAATATGGTACTTCCAAAATAATAAAAGAGGGATACAAATGACCCTAATTTCCACAAAACTGGGACGTTGCTTTATTTGTAAAAAGTCAAAATATTCATTATAAAAAAGGAGGGCAGGGGAGTGAGTGAATCAGTATATTACACTAGGTAACACGATTTTTGTTCCTGGGTTATAAACGTCATTTCCTAATTGGCTCTATCATAAAAACATGGAAAAGGTTTATTGAACTGCAAAACTTTGCTTTTGCGGGCAACCTGCAGCACTTTTTGCTATAGTTTTGGTTTTATTTTGATGTAATACGTTGTCCGGGCTTGGCCCCATGTAAGCCGCTCCGAGTCCCCATTGGGGAGATGGTGGCGGGGTATAAATAAATATTATTATTATTATTATTATTATTAGTCTCAAGCCCTTGGTCCAACAGTTAGGATTTGGCCTTGTACCCATCCATTCCCCAGTTCTCTGCCATTTAAGGGCACATTTTTTCCAGCCCAGAGCTTTTTTTATAATCCTTTAATTGGCCCTGGAATTGAATGGCACCGGTCCCCTAGTAGGGCCACTGCTGAGACCAATCCTTGCACTATAGTATTCAGCCAGCCCCATTTTTCCCTCCTCCTTGGCCCAGCCCGTTCCAAATAGTCCAGGCCCCTTATTGAAATCTTTGCCCCTGGCAGCTTACCTTGCCTGAAGAGAGTGGTTTAAAATTGACTGTAATTTATATGTCGTGTTAACAGTTTGTGCCTATGTTTTTGTTTTATATTGTATGTTTTTTATTATTTTGCATATGTGGAAACCGCTCTGAGTCCCCTAGGGGAGATAGGGTGGTATACAAATAAAGGTTTTTTTAATTATATTATTATAATGTTTTTTTCTACTGACATACCCAGAAGTATTTTTTTTCTGACCGCCGGAAGAACTGGCACAGCTTTGGGGAGCGAGGCCCCTAGGGGTCGGTCTATCTATCACAGTCAGGCATGGGCCAACTTGGGCCTTCTCTCCAGGTGTTTTGGACTTCAACTCCCACAATTCCTACCATAAGCATGTGGACAATTTCAATAGAAAGGAGGAAACCATGAAAATGAAAAAAAATCTGGCTACCAGTATCAAAAAACCTCTAAAATTACAACAGCAAAACAGCAGAGAGGAAACAATCAGGGACATCTAATCACCTCTCAACAAAAGATTGCCCCAGGCACTGCCAGGCCATCAAATGCTAATCAAGGTGGTCAGTTGAAACATTCACACCTAGCTCCAACAGACAAGAGTTCTTTGCCCCACCCTGGTCATTCCACAGATATATAAACCCACTAGCTGTTCCCTGCCACGGGTTGCTGTGGCCCAGTCTGGTGATGTGGAAAAGAAAGTAATGAGAAAGTGTTGGTTTCTAATATATGTAATTCCTTTATGCTTGTGAGTAAACAGTATTTCTTGTTGTTTCTTTGTCAGTGTTGATGTGGAGAGTGTCTGGTTTGCCCACCCTGGAACATGCAACATATCATAGTCCTTCTTTAAGGGTCCTCTCTTTCAAATCTATGATACTATATCTGTGTGTGTGTGTGAGAATCATATCTATCTATCTATATTTATGACTAGATGGCTCTTTGTCAGGAGGGCTCTGATTACATTTTCTTGCCCTGGTGAAGAGAGTTGGACTGGATGGCCTTATGTATTTTCTGATGGTCATGGGGGTTCTGTGTGAGAAGTTTTCCCCATTTCTGTTGTTTGTGGGTTTCAGAATGTGTTTTAATTGTAGGTGAACTATAAATCCCAGTAAGTACAAATCCCAAATGTCAAGGTCTATTTCCTCCAAACACCATCTGTGTTCATATTTAGGCATATGGAATTTTTGTGTCAAGTTTGGTCCAGATCCATCATTGTTTGAGTCCACAGTGCTCTCTGGATGTAGGTGAACTACAACTCCCAAACTCAAGGTCAATGCCCACCAAACCCTACCAGTGTGTTCTGTTGGTCATGGAAGTCCTGTATGCCATGTTTGGTTGAATTTCATCATTGGTGGAGTTCAGAATGCCCTTTGATTGTAGGTGAACTATAAATCTCAGTAAGTACAAATCCCAAATGTCAAGCTCTATTTCCTCCAAACTCCATCTGTGTTCATATTTGGGCATATGGAATATTCATGCCAAGTTTGGTCCAGATCCATCATTGTTTGAGTCCACAGTGCTCTCTGGATGTGGGTGAACTATAATTCCCAAACTCAAGGTCAATGTCCACCAAACCTTTCCAGTTTTTTCTGTTGGTCATGGGAGCCCTGTGTGCTAAGTTTGGCCCAATTCCATCATTGGTGGAGTTCAGAATGCTCTTTGATTGTAGGTAAACTATAAATCCCAGCAACAATTCCCAAATGACAAAATCATTTTTTTTGAGTGGAGGACATAAATTGGACTGTTAGGTGTCTTGTGTCCAAATTTGGTGTCAATTCCCCCAGTGGTTTTTGAGCTCTGATGGTAGCACGAACTAACATTACATTTTTATTTATATAGATTTATCCTAGTTCCAACAGACCTCACTACCTCTGAGGATGCTTGCCATAGATGCAGGCGAAACGTCAGGAGAGAATGCCTCTAGAACATGGCCATATAGCCCGAAAAAACCTACAACCCAATTCCTACCAGCCTCAGGCCCTTTCCTTTTCCCCCTCAGACGCTTAAGCGGATAAAAATGGTGGGAGTTGAAGTCCTAAACAGCTGGAGAAAAGGCCCAAGTTTTGTCGAAGGCTTTCATGACCAGAATCACTGGATTGTTGTATTAACATACCAGGCCCAAGTCTGCCCATGCCTGATCTATCGCGACATCCTGGCACGCCTATGAACATCTAGCCATTTCTGCCCTCAGCCAAGATGGCGCCGCGAGACTCCCGTTTCCCGGAAGTGATGTCATCTTACCGCTCCCAGGATGCTCGCTGAGGCGGCCATTCAAATCGGATAATAACCCGAGGGGAAGAAAATGGCGGCGGAGGGAGCGACGCAGGGCACAGGTAAGGCTTCGTGGTGCGTGTTTTTGCCTCTTTGTGGCGAGGCCTCTTGAGGAGAGTGAGGCAGCCGCCCTGGCTGGTTTCTTCTTTGTCTCCAGCAGAAGGCGGGCTCGGCGGCGGAGCGGAAGGGCGCGAGGGTCCCGGCGTGGCGGTGGCTGTCTCCTCAGGGCCTGCCTCTCTCAGCGGCGGCGGCGGCGGCGGCGCGGCCTTGGCGGTCTCCGTGGCTTTCCCCGGCTCGGTGACGCAGGAGGGCTGCTTCCGGTTCACTTGCGAACTCCTCAAGCACGTCCTGTACCAGCGGCAGCAGCTGCCCTTGCCTTACGAGCAGCTCGCCTTCTTCTACCGGAGGCAGCCGCCCAGGACCCCCGGACAGGTAAATAGGGTGAGATGGGCGGCCTCAAAGCAGCCTTCAAGCTCTTAAAATAACGCTTCTCAAGCTGGGGGACGGGACCCCTTGGGGGGGGGGGTGTCACGAGGGGGTGTCAGAGGGGTCGCCAAAGACGATCAGAAAACCTGAGAGTTCTCCGTGGGAAGTTTGGCCCAATTCTATCATTGGTGGGGTTCAGAATGCTCTTTGATTGTAGGTGAACTATAAATCCCAGCAACTACGACTCCCAAATGTCAATGTCTATTTTCCCCAAACCCCACCAGTTTTCACATTTGGACATATTGAATATTTGTTCCAAGTGAGGAGTTATATTAAGGGGTTGCAGCATTAGGAAGGTTGAGAACCGCTGTCTTAAAAGCAGGCACGGGCCAACTTGGGCCCTCCAGGTGTTTTGGACTTCAACTCCCCACAATTCCTAACAATGGCTTGTTGTTAAAAAAAAAATGGCTTGTTGTGGAAACAAGGATTGAAGATTTCAGTGAAGACACCTTTTCCCCATAACTTTTTCAAGTGTGAATTTCCCTTCCAATGAATAAATTTCTCTGACTTCCTGTTGTCTCACCCCTGTTCTTAACTCTTGAGTCATTTGTAAGCCAGATGTCTATAACTTGGGAACTGCCTGTATTGCTGTTTTTTGTGCTTTAAAATATTCACAACTTTTTCCAATCTCCTTAACTTTATAGGATGAAGAAGTGGTGAGAAAAGTCCACCTAAAAGATAAAGACAGCAGCCAAAAGTGCCAGCAAGTGCTAAGTGATCTTGAGGGAGTGTTCAAGCACTTGGAAACCATGTTTACTTTGACACTGGTCCCTCGCGTTCTGATTCTTCTCGGGGGTACTTCTGTCAGCCCTAAAGAACTGTATGAGATCAACCTGCAAGGGGTGTCTGTTAAGGGTGCTGAGGACAGTCTGCAGACAGCTGCCTGCATTCGCAAGCTTTTCCATTCTCTGTTCCTAGCAGATGTGTTCAGCGAGCTGCAGACAGGCCCTACTATGGGTGTCACTGTGATGGTTCAAGGGCACCGCAATTGTGGTGTCGACTGGTTCAGACCCAAACTAAACTACAAAGTGCCAACGCGAGGGAGGAAGCTGACTGTGAATGTATCATGCAATCATCACAACAGTACAGGTCTTTCTGCCTATCAGGAGATGAACTCGGCTTGGGACGATTACATATGGTTTCAAGCTCCAGTGACAGTCAAGGGCTTTCGTTTCTTTTCTTCATAAAAAAAAAAAGGATTTTTTTTACTATTGTCTTTTTGATCCACTATAACCAAACTTTTCCCTTTTCCTATAACCAAACTTTTCCATAACAGTTGTATTCCCACTCTGTTGTATTTTTACATTTATGGGAATAGCTTTTGGAGAATGATTCAAAGGGTCAAAACAATGACTTAATGATTCACCAACTTTCCTCTACTGTGGACTTTATTTCCAACATATACTTGACATAATTGAACCACTGCATAAGTGTCTTATAATATACTCCCAGTGAACTGTGTTCATTGGTAAATAATTGTGCAATGTTAGCAAATGCTCAATAATGGTGTGAGAAGAAGGTGAATCCCATCTTACTAACTTTTTTTGTGTGTGTTGATGATGGTGGCTTGATCTGTTATAAGGAATATAGCCATAGTCCCAAGCAACAGTGTCTCTCCATGAATTGATAACAGCTTCTAAAAAAGTAGTCTCCTAAGTGCAACAATTGCAGTGATGATTTCTAGGTGCTTTTTCTGAGAAATAACTCCTCTGAGTATTGTTATAAAAGATGAGAGTGGAGAACTTCAGCAAATAGATAATGATGAGTAAAACTGAGATTCATTCTTTGCTTTCTGAAGGACATTTGCTCAGCTATGTTAAGAACTGCAATGTCTAGTGTGTGTGTGTATGTGTGTTAGTAAAAAAGATGGCTTGGAGTTTCCCATTTTTTCAAGATCTTCATGTAGCAGCTTTAACCCTCTGACCAAGTAGTTTTGTCTGTGTGCATCAGATACTCCTACACGCTAGACGTTGTGCACAGCCCATGCTATAGCTTTAGTTTAAGTTGATAAAGTAAAATACCTCATTTGATGCTTTGACTAAAACTAAACTAGACTTTGGAATGAAATGAATGTCATCAAATAATCAATTTTAAAACTGCTGTCCCACATAACAGCTGATCCACTTCATTCATGTTAAGAAATTAGTATGTATGGGGCTATTTCTATGGAACTACTAAGGGAAGGTAGTATTTTGTTCCAGACAATGGTTATCTATTTATTTTATCCACTGTTAAGAGGCTGTATGGCTTTATTGTCCAGTTAAGGACAAATTCAGTTAACTATGGGAAATGTGGCTTCCCACACTGCTTTTAAAATTGGAATTTGTTTTTTGGTCAGGGGAAAAAAATCAACCTACATGCAGAGTAGTTGATCCAAAATCTCTCTTTGTGGAAAGGAGGATGTTTTCAGGCTAAAATAGAGGCCTATGGGGCACAGAAAAGTTTATTATACTCTAGTTTACAATACGTTTTTGGGATATGAGCTATTTGAACAACACTGGAACCACTACCTTCATAGGCAAATTCCAGAGAAGAGTGTTTAATCTGGTATGTTTTAAGGACTGTCTGGCTCCTAATGACATTTTGCATTGTACTTGAAAAGCCTGGGAAAGGTTAAACAAACATGCTTATTCTAAAACATGAAAGTACAGAAGGTATTGTATCAGCCATTTGAAAACAGGCTAAGATCTCAGGCACTGATTTTAATGTATTCAAGTGTCCTTGCACAGAGGAAAGAGAATAGGGAAAGCTCTGACAATTTACTGAAAGTTGCCTGCAGAGTAGAGCCCAGCCCTCTGACAGTTCAAGTAGCCTTTAAAATTACAGTGTACATTCTATAATTGTGTATAAAATGGTGCTATGTAAGATATGTGATTAAATATGCTGCTCCAATGAATTGGTTAATGACATTGTCCTTTTACAGATCTGTAATATGAAATAAATTACAGCAAGAAAGATTTACTTGTTATAAGAACCAATTTAATATGACTACTGCCCTCTTTTTTTAAAAAAAACTTAGATGCTTACAGTAGTTTCTCACAATAGAATAAATGACCGTTGAAAGCTCAAGCAGTAATGTAATCATACTATTTTACTTAACGTGCCAAAGGTTTTTGCACTTGGATTACAGCTCTCTTTGCCATGCTTATGCCTTGCTGTTACCTCACAGACGTTCCACTTTCCGAATAAATTGCTTGAAGTCCTGAGCCAAGAGCTGTGGCTCCTCCAAGGCAGGGAAGTGACCACCCCGTGGCATGTAGGAGTAGGTAACGAGGTTTTTAAACTTCCTCCTTACCCAGGAAGGCGGAGCATGTAAAAGTTCATCAGGGAAGGCAGTAACACCAGTGGGAACATAAACTCCAGTCCTGTTATAAAAGAAACCATTATCAAGGGTTGACTTGGCCATAGCAAAACTGATGTACATTTTTCTACCGTAAGCCACATTACCATTGGGAAATTGCATTCTTTTTGGATGGCATATCTATGACTTCTGCTGTTTTTATTGCCCATATGTACACAAATGTTAAACAGGCCCAACTGTATTGTGTTTACTATTGAAACAATCTTGAGTCCCCCTGGGAAGATAGGGTGGAATACAGATAAAGTCATTATTATTATTATTATTATTATTATTATTATTATTATTATCATCATCATTTCAAATTAAAATGGCACCCATGTGAGCTAGAATTAGAATGTTTATACTTAGGAACACACATGGATAGCAAGAGTTGAGGGATAGGGATAATGAGCTTGATCTGAATTAGAAAATATGCTACCATGGAACTTAGATCTTTACTGTCAAAAATCTAAATGGTTTGTCATATTTGGAAATCAGCAAGTGTTTTCTAAACTACAAAGGATTTAATATATCCAATGGGATTTTGACTTCATTTCAGAAACTGTTTGGGCAAATATCTCAAAAATAGTTGGGAAGGCATTCTGCTTATATTGTGGCAAAAAATTAGATATAGGCAGTCCCTGAGTTATAAACAACTCATAGTTAAGAACGGAGGCAAGACAACAGAAAGTGTGAGAAATTACCCCTCAGAAGGGAAATTCACACTGGAAAGAGCATGGGGAAATTTATTTATTTATTTATTTTGGGCTTTTATATCCTGTCCTATCTCAACCTCTGAAGAGGGACTCAGGACGGCTAACAAATCGGCACCCCATGGCACCCACATCAGTAAAACATAAATATACACTTTAACAGTAGTATAATAATAACAATATAAAACAGTACAAAACATAAAACAGTATAAAAACAATCAAGCAGTCAGCGGTTACCGGTTTGAATCAACATCCAAGAGGCAGTCAGTCAGTACTATATAAGTCGTCATGTCAGCCAGTCAGGCTAATCTACAAAAGCCTCCCCAGTGAAGCTTTCCCATCAATCCTTGTTTCCACAACAAGCCATTTTTTTTTCAAAATCCAGTTATCACAGGGACAGAAAGTGCAGTTAAACCTTCTAAAAAGGGGCAGAGATAGCAAAGCAAACACCGGGGGGGGGGGGGGGGGGGGGGGGTTGACCCTTCCTTATGCTGCTCAAAGTTTAAAAATACATATTTTTGGCTGGAGTTACACTTAAAAAATTACCTGATCTGACTTACAAACAAATTCAACTTAAGAACAAACCCACATAACCTATCTTTGTAATTTGGAGACTGTATTGCTGTCAGGTTAACTTGTGCTTTAGCCAGTGCTATGTACTGTATGCTGCACAACCTTTTCTGCTACACTCCATGTGGCTTATGCTATCCTATTAGCAGCTTGTCTAAGAAATCTATGCAGACTACAGAGTGAAAGCCATATTGACCTTAGGCAGCAAAAATGACTTAGGTGAGCCCCACAAGCAGTAAACATAAAAAAAAACCCCTCATATCATGTGGTATGTAGAGTATCTTGGAGAGACAGCATTTATCTTGTAGCAGTTTTTGGTTATTTTTCCTTACCTGCCACTGGGAGTACTGCTTGGATTCTGGGAAAAATTCTCCTTGTAAAAGCGCATTGATGTCACAATGGAGCCTGTCACCCAGTAAATCATGACATTGGTCAATAAGTCATCCAGCGAGTATTTCCTGAATAAGAGAATTACAAGAAGACCTTTGCTTAGCTTTGGTACTTGCCTACAAAACATGGAACGTAAGTTCAGGGCACTGTAATTTTATATTGCTATGTTTTCACATGTTTTATGTAATTATGTTGTTGTTTAATGTTTGCATTTTCAGTTTTATTTTATTGCAATTTGTTGTTTGGGCTTGGCCTCATGTAAGCCGCTCCGAGTCCCCATTGGGGAGATGGTGGTGGGGTATAAATAATAATAATAATAATAATAATAATTATTATTATTATTATTATTATTATTATTATTATTAAAAGGTGCTAGAATGTGTTCAGCAGTGCAGCAGCATATAATTAAAGCACTGAATTAAAACTCAATTGTGTTCCTATTTGAGATGGAAGTTTGCCAAATTATTTGTCCTCCTCTTTTACGTTAGTATTTGCAATGTGTCCCCAGTCTCCTAAGATATACATGTCATAAAAATCCTTACCTCTCCAAACCACCATCATCCAAGTTTGGAAATGATTTATCAGTCCATGTAGAGAACTTTTCTAGGATGTATGCAGCAAGTCCCACAGGACAGTTATTCAATCCACATCCTAGGTCAGAAAAGCAGCTCATTAGTTTTAAAAATAAAGATATGTACTGCTTCAGGCTAAAATTTGGAACAAGGAAGAATCTGGTTTGTAGATCTGAGGAAGAGTTAGGGCTTTGATTTCAGACTATTTCACAACTCCCCTCCTGGATATCATCACTTCAGAGACTCAGTTCTTACAAGAATCCAATGACCTGGGCAGAAGGATCATCTAAGAAAACTCACTGTAGGAACTGCTGATTTTTCCCCCCCTGATGGTGGCTGTCCATCTGTGTCCACACACTCTTTTTTCCCTTGGAATCACATATTCAAGATAATAGATTGCCTAATTGAGGAGTTATATATTTTCTACTATCTTTGGAAGTGTGAGAAATAAGTCTTTATATGTTATCTTGATTCACTAAAGTACAAACTTAATGCAATCATTAGAACACAAATGGTGTCATTTCAATTTTGCATGGCTATTTGCTGATTGAAGAACACTTCAATTCATGTGTTATTAATGGCATGGAATAAAATCAATAATTTTGAAGGAAAAACAACACGAGCTGCCTCAGATGAGGTCCTTGGTTTACATCCAGCATCCTGTTTCTCACGGTGTTCGATCACCAGATGCTACGACATGCACATGAAGAGGAGATGAGAGCAAAGCTCCTCTTACGGTTTTTAAGAAATTGGCATTCAGAAGCATGAGGGCCCTGATTCAGGAGGCAGTATATAGATAATCACAGAATATAGCAATTGACAGCTTTATCTACCATTAACTTTTATTACCATTACCTAGCCTAGGCATGGGCAAACTTGGGCCCATAGGAATTGTGGAAGTTGAAGTCCAAAACATCCAGAGGGCCCAAGTTTGCCTGACCTAACCTATTGAGCTGTCTCAAATCTTGCACCACTTCCACCAGACTGCTAATATTTTATGAAAGAGTACAACAATTTTAGTTCCGGTGTTTAATTTTATTTGCCTCCATCATGTATTACCTTTCAAATATGAGTTGCTTTCCCCCCCAAAGTGAAAAAAATTCCAAAACGTTGCAATGTTTCCTAATATGAAAATTGCTTCAGTGTTATAGATGTATTAGTTACCCTATTCTGCACCTTTCCTATAACTCTCCTGAGAGATGTTACCCAGAATGGTACAAGACATTTCAAACGTGATCAGACACATTTTGGAGATTTTTAAAAAAATCCCTCCCTCAAAAATCTCAAGAAGGAGATCTCCCCTTTTTACAGCTGTTACCCATTGAGTTAACATCTTAACTGAACTTTCTCCACAACTTCCATCGCCAATTTTCTTCTCTACTACTGCCAACTAAGTCCATACATGTGAAGTCTGAATTGCAATGACTCAAAGTGTTTTACTTTATTCTTGGAACTGTATTTACCCTCTTAATATCAGTTTGCCCAGGCTAATGGAGCTCCTTTCAACATTGTATTTTATCAACATAATTAAGCAAATAATTTGGTGCAATCTGCAAACATGGATAGAATCTCATTTTCCACTCTGTACTCTAGGTCAGTGGTTCTCAACCTGTAGATCCTCAGGTGTTTTGACCTACAACTCCCAGAAATCCCAGCCAGTTTACCAGCAGTTAGGATTTCTGGGAGTTGAAGGCCAAAACATCTGGGGACCCACAGGTTGGGAACCACTGCTCTGCTGGAGCATGTAAGAAATAAGTTAGTGTGTGTGTGTTTATTTATTTATTTATTTATTTATTTATTTGGTGCATTTATTAACCGCCATTCTCAGCCCTCTCGGGCGACTCATGGCGGTGTACAGCATAAAAAGGCAATTTACAAAAAGGCAATTACAAACAACATATTAGCAATACAACAATACCACAATTAAAAGTTAACTGTGTCAACTGTAAAGTAAGATGTACAAAGCTGATTGGTCGGGCTACACCTAGGGAGCTGGTTGAGCCTGGGACTTTTGGATACTGTTATTTTTTACAGGGTTGAGCTGTGCAAGTGCTTGCAGAGAAGCAGAGAGAGAGAGACAGAGTTTGGATTGTGCTCTTACTTCATGTGCTGCTGGAGGAAGTTTCTCCAAATTGACAAAGAAAGGCCATTTAAATATCTCATAAAAGGACATTATGTGACTTGATGCCACTGATCACATGATTGCAAATATGTCGTTCTGAATTACGAAGAGTTAACTACGTATATTTTGGTGTATAAGACTACTTTTTAACCCAAGAAAATCTTCTCAAAAGTCAGTATGCGGGGTCGTCTTATACGTGGGAGTAGTCTTATACATGGGAGTAGTCTTATACACAGGAGTAGTCTTATACACAGGAGTCATCGTATAGAGC